TGTATTTTAGTCATCTTTTCCAGCCATAAATGAATCTTAAACCAAAATTTCTTTGCGCTAGGACATACCCACCAGGTATGGTAGTAAGTACCTGATTTTTGTTTACATTTCCAACAATTATTCGATACATTTTTAAACATTTTCGCTAATCTAATGTCATATGCCATCTATAAAACATTTACAATAGCTCAATTTTTGTGCACAGTTTAGCAGTTCTGGTTTAGTCACTAGAACATAAACACACTGGAAAAAGTTGCTGGTTAGCAGTTTCATCATTTTTGTTGATTTAAAAACATACACCAATAGAATCAATCTCTAGTCTAGGCAATGAACATTTCATCTAAGTTGGATATCAGTTTTCCCAGTCCCTTTATCCGTTACTTCACATTCTTTGGTATCTTGTAATTGTCAAAGGCTGGCAAAACTGGCAATAAAGCCTGGTAATATTGAACATTTGTTCTGTAGGCCACCCTGTTCAGCATGCACATTCAATTAAAAATGGAAAATGCTTTTTACTTTGTGAATTGCTTTAATGTTGGCAAGTGTATAACTAAGACTTATGTGTTTGCTTGCTCACTTGCTTATTTCTGGGTAGTGTGCAAAAATCAAGCACAACAAAATATACTTGACAATAAGATTAAATTACTAATGGCTATATAATACATAACAATGTTTTTTTTTTAAAATGCAACTCCAGGTTATTAAGGCTGGATGAAAAATGTGTGTTTCTAAGCCCTTCTTAAAAGTCTGTGGATTGGCATCTCTTTATCCTATTGAGAGTGAGGTCTATATATGAGGCCCCACCAGGGAGAGAGATTGGCCCCAAGTATTAAGCAGGTGAACCAGGCCTCCTTATTTTATGTCAATAGCTAGTGACAAATCTTGTTTGAGGTTGGCTTTCTCTAGATGTTCCAGGACTTTAAAGCAACAAACAGTATCTTGTATGTATCTGGAAATCGGTCAACAGTTGGTGTATAGATTTCGGAATAGGGAGAATATGGCCTCTGCAGGATAAAATGGAAGTTGCAAGTGACACATGGGAAGCTCTGTATAGAGCTTATTACAAAATTCAGGCTTGGAGGTTACCAGAAGGTGTGTTTTGGTTTTTAGACTTAAGGCTAAAGATTTGTAAAAATGACCTGTAACAGAGCAGGAGTTCTTTGGTTTTTTTTTGTCAAAAGCCACATTTTCCCCACTATGATGTCAGAGGCTTGAAGCAAAGTGAGGATTGAGAAGAAAATGACTGAGGCTATTTTCTTTTCTCTGCCTCAGTAAGCTATCTGAGGAGTCAGAGACTTGCTATTATGCTTATAATTATCTAACTTTACCTATTATCTATCTCTGTCTATCTGAATGCTTCCCTTCTCTTTTACTCCTGTCATTTTAGTTTCATGCCCAGTTTTTGCTAGTGGCCTGAACTTGCAAAAGGATTCTTCCCCTTTGCTACTCTTCTGCAATTTCAGGGTGTGTTATTTTTTTCTTTCCATGCTATATGAAGATAGGCTGACAGCTGAAGTTTCCCCATTCTCCCTTCCTGCCCTGGGATTTCATCTTGAAACCATGAAAACCTATTTTGTTTCCAAAGTTTAGACATACTGTAGTTCCTCCTGGATTAGTCAGGAATCCAGAACCAATATCTTAGTTTTCCTGTATTTGTTCTTCCTTCTAGGATACACTTTGGGCAGATTACAAGCAATCAGCTTCTTGTTCAGGTGATGGAGAACCTGAAAAAAACCACCATTTCCAGAGTCGGTCAAGTGAAAGTAAGTGTGTAGTGGCACAATATTTTTCATGTTTAAAAAGTGCTGGTTTAGAATTCTGATCTGATCTCCCAAGCTCTGCAATTCCTTGTCCATTGTCATCGAAGGGGAAGCAAGTGAATATCTCACTGAATATCATTTGCATTATCAGTTAGGAGCATGCCCTCAGCCCCAGCTCATGTCTCATTCCTTCTTTCCCTATGCTAGGAATATGGACGGAATAGGATGACAGAAGTTCCCGTAGCTTGCTTTGCCAAGTAGTGAAAGGGCAGGATTAAAGTTTGCTGGTATTTGAAACAAAGGGGAAGATTTGCTTGATAAGCTAATACTTAGAGCAAGCTGCTATGATTTCTCCCCCCCCCCCCCCCGTTTTGAACCCCATCTGAAACAATAGGATAATATTGCCATTATCTTACAGTCTTAAAGTGGGTGTCAGGATTATTAGACAATTGAGCACTGAAATAGTAGCAAGTGGGTATGGAAACTAAGTAGATGATGCTTTAATGGTTTTCCCGGTCTTTTCTTAAACTTCACTATTTATTTGTATTTATGCTGTACCTTTAGGATGTTCTGGGATTTAATATGGCCGGTCTTCAGTTCCTAAAAAGAGAAATTGAAGCCAGGGATGAAGTGACTTTTTTTGCTGATGCTACTGACCGATTTGAGGAGAAAAAGAGGAAGAGAAAGAAGAAACAGAAGATGATTCTTGCAATGCTATGAGGCAGTTTGCTGGAGGATTTGTTGCTATCTGAGAACACTGTGATGCATGCTTCCAGCTACTGAGGGGGAGGGCTTGGGAGAGGATGAGGGAACCAGAGAAAAAACATGCTGAGTTTTTATCCACGGGTTTTGAGATGGGTTGTAAGAGGACTATCCCCTTCATGTGTTCCCTGCTTTTGACTGCTACAACATCTTCTGACCTGCTGCTTTAGCTTTTCTTTAAAAAGCCACCTCCTATCCCGGGACCCCACATTGACTCTCATCCCACTCGTCATAATGACAAATCATGCAGATAGAGCTCTCTGCCCTCTTGCTGGATGGATGAATTTTTTTACTCTGTTTTACAACAACATTGTTTTCCCCACCTTTGGAAAAAAAGAAAAGAAAAAACAGCAATTGTTCAGATTTGATGTGGCTACGAATGATATGCTTCACATAATATAGCATTTTGGCCTGGTCTGAGAATAGACCTGTCTTCGCAGTTTGAGAAGGTTTCATTTGTACTTGCTTTTCAGTCTTATTTTTGCTATTTAATGAATTTGTCATTTTAGTAATAGCAGCTTGTATTTGATTATTTTCTGATCTTAGTTTTGGGTGGATATGAGACCAAGTGTTTTACCTCAATTGCATATTGCTTGCCATTTGTAATTACATAAATCATTGCTCCTCTGTGATACAATCCTAACAAAAATCTTCTAGCTGGCATACAGAAGTTAAAAATTAGTTCTCCAGATGTGTAATAATAATAATAATAATAATGATAAAGTTGGAAGGGACCTCGGAGGTCATCTTGTCCAACCTCCTGCTCAGGCAGGAAACCCTATACCATTTCGGACAAATGGCTGTCCAGTCTCTTCTTAAAAACTTCCACTGTTGGAGCATTCACTGCTTCTGGAGGCAGGTTGTTCCACTGGTTAATTGTTCTAACTGTCAGGAAGTTTCTCCTTAGTTCTAGGTGGCTTCTCTCTTTGGTTAGTTTCCACCCGTTGCTTATTAGATGGGAATTTAATTTAGCCTAATAAGGAATCTGGTTTCCTCATTTAACCTGGAATACTAGTGCCAAGCTGCTCAGCATGAATACAGTTAAATCTTCATACTTTTCTAGGGAGGGCACATTGGCAGAATTTCAAAATAAGTATTAATGGGTTATCAATTCTACACTAGCATCAAAATTAGCTGATTTTGATGAATGCTAGTGATGTTCTCAAGATATTAGAGATGTTGCACAAGTTCTTTGTGCTTTTTCACCTTCAGCAAGGCGAGTAGCAATTTTGTTTACACACTCTTTCTGTTAAATTTTCATAAATTCAAACCAAGAGATTTACTGGAGTGCAGAATTTTTCTTATTTATTGCTACATGTTCATATTATTAACATGACATGCTCACAATTGTTTACAATACCAATTTATATACATTACATAAATATTAGGTTAAAAACAATTTCATTAACCTTTGAAAACATCGATTTAACATTCTTGGCATATTAAGAATGTTAGGCACTGCAGGACTGTCATTAGAAAAAATTAATCCGGGTCTGCTCTGCAAAACAAACATAAAAAATTATATAAGCATATGGACACATTTTTAAGCAAGTTTTCTGATGTAACTTTCTAGTACAACTAACTTGATTGACAAAATGCATATGCCTGCTAAATTCAGCAGGTAGATATAATCATTTATCTTATTTGCCTTGTGCATTTAAAGTAAGTTAAAGTAATTATGGAAGCGGATTTTTGTCTTTGACATTTCCTTAAATACAGAATTCTTACTTAATGAAGCAGAGGGCTTGAAATCACTTGTGGCCCCTGCCGTCCTCTGAAAACTAATGACAGAATAAAAAGTCTGTCTAAAAGAAAGAAAAATCCTGTCCTACCTCTTATAGGTCTCACTTTCCTCAAAAATGCCAAAGGCATACCACTGCTTATCCAATCATTCTAAAATTATTTCAAGTGATCATCTCTGCAAAAAACCTTGCATATGATTTGAATTTATGAATTTCTGTAGTTTTTAATTTGCATTTTCTGACTACTAGACAAATATATTCCAAGTATTTTCTTGATTCAGGATGCAGAGATGACTGGCAGAAAGCAGTTGGCCACACAAGAGTCAGGGAAAAGGAATCTCAATTTGCCAAATCCTTTTCTCACTGTTTCTTTTTTCCTGAGTACAAGAAGCATAGTGCATTTCTGTACCACCTACCCCAAAAGTGCATTCAAATGCGTCCACCTAGAATTCTGCAAGCCACTTCTTAATGTGTAGCATACAGTGTCCCAATAGGTTTTGTGCACATTTTTAAATTGTGATATGTAATACTTAGAAACAGGTATGTATTTGGTTGCTTGAATATTCTGGTCTTATAATTCTCTCATTTAGGATCCGTCCCCATCAATGCCATTCATGTCTCTTACGCCCAAATGGTCTCTTGGTTGCCCTCCACCACCACCACCGACCCCCCAGCTTTCCTAACCCCTTCCCCACCAGTACATCCCAAGAGCCTTACTTCTTCCCCCCAATAGTGGCTTAATTGCCATACATAAGCTCTCCTTTTGAAACCCAGACTTCCCATGCTGAAATACAATTGCTTACATTAATGAGGAAGCTTGTGAGGAAGTATTACTCTAAACTGAGAGATTGGACTTGCTGGAATCAACTGGATGCTGGAGGCCTGCCCTCCCTTGGGATAGTTTGGTGGTCTCTCATCATAGACAGTGTCTGTTAAGACTGGTGAAAAAGCAAGTTAAGGAGATACATTGTTTTGCTAAACCCCTTCTCCAGCCTTGAGTGTAATAAAGCCTAATAAATAATGAAGCATAAAGACGGTTTTTAAAGAAGAGGCTGCCTGAACCACTAACTTCTATTTTCATTTTGACAACACAAAAAGCATTGAGATAATACAATGAGACAAGAGACTCCAGAGTCTCTTTCTTTCTTACACAGTTTAGCAGAAAAAGTAATAACGATGTCCCTGTGGCAGCTAGCTTACATGTTTGTCCATGTAATAAAGTGGCACAGGGTCATAGAGCACACCAGGTAAACGGTTTATAATTCCTTCGGTGTTAATATAGCAACTCGTGTTTGGCAGTGCTGGGGCTGATAATGAAATGCCGCATTATTCTCAGTTGTACAAACAGTTTGTCCTTTCAGATATCTCCTGGGAGATGTAAATTAGTGGGACAACAATAGAACACTGAAAAACTCCAAACATTTTAGACTTTGTTATACAATAGATTGAAGTGATATTCTGGTTCTTAGAAATGGGAGCAATGTAATTATTTGTAAACACCTCTTTTTGATATTATGTCAGCAGCTGAAGAGAACAATAGAAGGTAGGCATGATTGCTCCTATAACAACTACCAAATAAACATGCATAATGTTTATGATGGATATTGTAAAGCCTTGGAAAGGTTTTACTCTGAAAGATAGCACTAGAAATAAATAAAAATAACAAGGGTGGGATACTAAATAAGTGATTTAAAGAAAGGTAAGATTGCCACTTGTCAGTGAAGTGAAGACCATTAGTTTATCCTATATAAATTCAATGTAGAACAAAAGAAAAAAAACACTGAAAGATATTTGCTTCTACAGGAAGAAACAGTGTTTCAGTTTCTGTGTGAATTTCAATCTGATGGGAAAGTTTGTCCAAGCCCTCATCTCCTTCCACTCCAACAGCCATGGCAAAAATCTCTATTTCCAGTACGGTTTGCAGTCCAGCAGCCACCTAGAAAAGACAGATCATATAATTCACCATGGAGAAAATTAGATTCTTGCCTCCCACCCCACTATCTTGCCCTCTTTAAATTACTCCTAACCATCACCCCTAAATAAACTTGCTGGTAAGGCTTCGTTTTATTTGTGACTTGAATTTTCACCATAACATTTCTACTATAAACTTCTCCACCTGAAACTGTCGTAACAAATGACTTGTTTGGAGCATAGAGTGAAAGAAAGCTAAATCCCATGTAATTTTCTTATGTGTGAATAGGTGCCAAACCATTTTTATGGCAATATACCCTTCATGTGCTCAACATAGAATTTTGTTCCAGTTACTATACTGTATAATCTTCAAAGCTGATGATACAGCATTTGAACAGAAAGAAAACTAAAGAATTGTGGATAAGTAGCATTTAAAGGTAATTTAAAGGATTTCCCATATTTAGGAAAAGGAATAAGTCCATTTTTTTAAAAAAAAATGCTGAAATGTGTTCATTAGAAGAAATGAAGTTTTATTAAAGCCTATATGATAAAACAGACTACTTATAGGAGACTGGCATTAAGGAATATCTTAATGAAATATCTTAAGGAGATTATTTATTACTACATCATTCTATTAAGATACAGCAATCGGCCCATTTGTCCCGACACCCATGTATATGCTGCTTGGGCACATTTTCATCAGAGTAGCACTCATTCTTGGGGCAATTTATTGGCTAAATGAAGAGATGCCTCCCAATTTGCATCAGACGTTCTCATATTGCTCCAACGACTTCTATAATCTTAGTGGGAGGAGGAGAAGGTTCTCCTGAATGTTACACACATTTGTACATGATCCTTCAGAATTGTTTTGAAGAGTTTAAAAAACAAAAACATAAACAAAACCTCTGACTCAAAAAATATGATCACTCCTCTCCACTATTGCAGAGTAAAAGGAAACATTATGGGTATTCTGCTTTATCTCTACCACGGGTTTTCAGAACTTATATTTTATTGCTATTTGAAAAAAAGGGCCATCTCAATAAACCTGGAGTATCAAGTCAATCCCACATAGAAGTAAGATAATCCATTTTATGCCTCTTTATTAATTTGTTGCTAGTAGTTGTACAGATGTGCTTGGTCGCTTTTAAATCCTTAACTACTGCAGAGAACCCTTGTGATTAATCATTAGCCCAGGAAAATCTTTAATACCAATCGTTAAATTATATTATTTCCCTCTAAAATGATTCTATCTGTAGCTTATAGGGAGAAATCTTATTAAACTGCTAGTTAGGAGAGAAACTTTCTCGCCTTCTCCAAAGGTTGCGCTTCCATTTTTTACTGGAGTTGGAGACATGCAGAAGACAAAAGGCACTAATGCTAGAGGACTCATCCAATTGCTTAGTGCACTGATTTCTATTAATCACTAATCAGGAGCAGCATTATTCAGTGACAATTCAGAGGCAACAGACACTAGACAGGTATCAGCTAAGAAGCTCGTAATATTCTGCCAGTTCTAGATGGGTGGATAGCAGTTGAACTCAGTTGCGAGGAAAGGCCCATAGGTAATATTTAAGAGCAGTGGTCTGCTTGCAGAAGAAAATCAATCCAAATTAATTAAACACTCTACAACTTACAGGCCCTGGGGTATAGTTCACACGCAATCCTGTAGAAGGTGGTGGTTGTTTCACCCGAAACCTGCCAAGTAATAGAAAAGTTAATTTCTTGTTTTGCACTGGACCAGAGAAATAAGAAGCAGACCATGGAAGAAGACGGATCCACACAGACGTTGGCTTCCATAATTATTAAGATATTTTCAATCTGTGTCAAGAATAAGTTCAGACACGGAGGGAAAGTTTAAATTCATAGCTTAAGAAGCCTCAAAATATCCACTTAGAATGGGTTACTAAAGCTACATTCAACATTTTTCATTTCCTAGCTACCGTCTTTATCTAAAATAAAGACATATAATGTGGCTTGGATATTTCTAGTGAGGGAACAGCATATTGCTTCCTTGTCATTAGTATTTGAAAGATCATTTGTACTGGGCCTCATCTGAAGCCATCTAAAGCTAAATGTTTGGTTGGAAATCTGGTCCCATTGCAACCTGTATGCATCATAAAATAGATGCGGCCTCCCTCCTAATCTCTTCAGTCTGATGACAGATAAAAGTGGTCTCAAACAGGATATGTATCTAAAGGACCAAAGTGAGATGGCTATGTAAATTTTCACATCCTCCAGCTGTTCTCTGTAGTCTCTATCATTTACAAGGGAAAAGGCAAAGTAGTAAAAAGGCAAACATCACTTAGCCAAGGGATCAATTGAGGACTTCTTACGCCAGTTAGTTTAATGGGAAGATTTTTATGTAATTGTGCAGAAAACCTGGATCCACACTATGGACAGAGCATCTGAGAAATCTTCTCAGATGGGCTATTAAGAATCAGTCCAACAGTGACTTAGATCTCTTCAGAAGGAGGAGAATTTTAGTCTTTAGTCTTTATGGCTGTAATTCTTTAAGAGCCATGTGGGGCACAGTGGTTTTGCCTATTAAACATACTGTCTGTTATCATCAAACCTAGGAATGAAATTGTCATGTAATTAGAATTTCTGGAGGAAAGGGCCAGTGAGAAACAACATGCCTGCTTCATTTAGGCAAAAACATCTGTCCAAAGAGCAAAGATTGGAAGTATCTCAGGCAACTGCCCCCTTCATGCTCCTGCTGGTGGTCTCATCTATAGCCCAAACTAGATTCTCCTGAATAATAAGATTTTGATGAACATTGACAGAAGAAGAAGAAAAACTCCCACATGACAACTTGTAAGATAACACCAATGCTAGCATGATAATTCCCTCCCAAAATGAAGATTTCACTCTCAGCACAGATGCAACTTTATGGATATGAACCAAAAAAATTGTGTTTGAAATCCACTACATTTCTTTCTGCATTGGATTGAATAGGCAAACTAAGTAAAAGTGAGGGTACTGGAACATTCAGCAGGTATGTCCATGTGGGTCCATAGGCCATGTAGTTGAACTAAATGGTCTTTGACTATCATAACTATCTTGTTCTTTGTAAATGCCAGGGAAGATAATACTGGGCATTATAGTGTCACCTTTATTCTAAATTCAAAAGATTGTTCTGCTGAAAAAAGCCATCAGAAATGAAATTCTGTCTCATGCCATTGCAAAGTGTAGTTTCAATTGTTATAGGTGACTTTCACCTTCAGAATAGAAGAGAATAGAATAAAAACGTTGTCACTTTAAATGTACACTAATCAGCATACATTAAAATGAAATTTTATTGCATTCAATCCTCAAAATATACCATTATGCATATACCCCCCCCACACACATATATGACACAGAGAAACATCACAGTCTAGTTCAGTGGTTCTCAACCTGTGGGTTGGGACCCCATTTGGGGTCGATCGACCATTTCACGGGGGTCGCCAAGCAAGGCTGTCCGCCATTTTTTTTGTCCGCCATTTTTTTTGTCCATTTTTTTTCCCTTTTCCGGCAGGTGCCTTACCTCCCTTGGGCTGGGCCAGCTGGTGGTTGGCCTGCTCCATCTCTGCCGCTTGCCAGCTACGCCTCGGCCGGCGCAGGGGGCGGAACCACGCATGCGCGGCGCTCCCGGGCAGGGAAAGTCCTCGACTTACGACCGGTTGGGTAGTCCTCGACTTACGACCGGTTTAGTCCTCGACTTACGACCGGTTTAGTCCTCGACTTACGACCGGTTGGGATGGCGGCATTAAAAAGGTTGAGAATCACTGGTCTAGTTCAAATGTATACATATACATGGCAGGGGGGAAAAAGAATCCTGTCAATTTACAAGACGGATGGCATAAGGAACAAAGCTGTTAATCTAGTAGTCCTGCTAGAAATACTTCGAAACCTCCTCCCAGAGGGGAGCAACAGAAACAGATCGTGAAGTGGGTGTGTGGGGTCTCTAACAATGCTTTGAGCTCTAAGCATGTAAAACCTATAAGCAGTATCCTGAATAATGGGAAGCAAGCATCCTATAATTTTCTCAGCTGTCCTTACCACTCTCTGTATGGACCTACCACCAAACCAAACAACAATGATGCAGTTTGTTAGAACACTCTCAATTGTGCCTCTGTAAAAAGTGGCCAGGACAGAAGGAGAAAGATGTGCTCTCATCTGATGCAAGAAATGCAAATGCTGGTTTGCACACTTCACTAAAGATAACGTATGAAGAGACCAAGTCAGATTGTTAGTTATCTGCACCCCAGGTACTTAATACTATTGATCACCTTCACAGCTGCCACTTTGATGCAAAGTGGAGTATGACTACGCAGGCTCTTCCTAAAATCTACAATGATCTCCTTTGTTTTATTAACATTCAAAACCAGGTTATTTTTATTGCACCAGTCCAGCAAAATCTTTATCTCCTCCTTAGAAGAATCTTCGTTGGATAAGATTCACCACTGCCATTTCACCTTCACTCCATGTTATTCTAACAGAACCTTAGACATTAGAAGTTGGTGTATCCTTGGCAGTTCAACTCAAAGTCGCTAAATGCTAACACTGCAGCAATGAGGACAGAAGGGAGATTAGGTAGGCATTTCACCTTTTAGACAAATACTTGAAGGCAAAAGGTTTACCATTGTAACATTTTGCTCTAAAAAGTGCCATCTGAGTTATATAAACTACATGCGTGACTTATAGAAGAACAAGGCTACTGCAATGCTTCTATTTTGAAAATTGTTATTACTGATGAAATTCTCTCTCCTTGAACAATGTACCACTCTGACATCATTGATATAGAAAAGAACCTGTTATCTACAAACAGTTCCGTGGCATATCTCCAAACAACCAAAAAGCAAAATATTTTGATGTATTATCCTTTGGCAGATACAAAATTTGCTAGTAATATATACAAACCTGCAGAAATCCATTCCAACATTCTTCAAAACCACTGTGGTTGAATAAGTGCAGCCCTCCTTAAGAATGCCAAATGTCACCTTCGGTGGGATAAGAAGGAATCCTGACATTTTCTGGGAAGGTGCTGTGACAGAGCATGTGCGGACTTTGCCAGAAACAAGATCTACATTCTTCACAAACGAGAGAGATTATTTAGGAAGGATAGACAGATCAAAACTCTTAATCCATATATCTATTGATAAGAATAAAAGGGCATTTATAGATTGATATTCTACCCATTCACAGCTATTGATACTTCAATTCTGAAAGGAAGATTTGTATTCAGAAGTCACAATAGGCTAAATATAAAATAATCATTTTTGTCAAATTGGAACATAATATACCTTGAATTGTAAGTGGATTAGCCTATGTGAAATCAGTCCTGTGAATAATTCAACATGTACAAAAATGTGCAATATTTATGTTCTGTAGTATGGATTTGAACTTAAGGCATGAAAATCTAGTTGACCTTCAGTAAGTTCCTGGATGAGAAACAGAAATTTGTAATGTACTTTTTGCTAAGGGTTTTATTTTTGTTTCAGTAAAATTATACTGCACAGCTCCTTGGACACTCAATGCATATTGAGTATTATTCCATAATGTTGGATTGTACTTCTCTTACTTTCAGCTGCCATCAAGCCTATTTTAGTCTTACACAATCAGATGGACAGGATTTACTAAATGATAAGCTATGGTTAATTATCATTGGACCACATATCAAGAAAATAGGCAGAAGCCATTCAACAGCAGAAGGCGATGTTCACAAAGGTAGCAAAGATTTGAAATTAACTCCTTTGTTCCCAATCCTAGCTTCTTCTGTCCTTGTGAACAAGAGGGGCAAAACTCATTTTGTACTCACTATATAAGCAGCTCAGAGGGAGGGACGAAATGTCCACTCTTTCTAATCCATCTAATGCAGGCCCCAAAACCAAGCTACAAGCATTCTAGGTGACAGAGAGGATTATGGTACACTGTTGTCAATTTGCTCCAATCCCTTTGACTATTGTTTAGTGACAGCTGGAAAAAAAACAGCTACTTGTGGTGGTGATTTGTGGCAGGAATCCAGTACTCTTAGGTACTTGAGTTGCTATTCTACTTCTGTAACCTTTAAGTCATAACTGATATCCTGATAAGGAAGAAAAGGAGTATACAATGGTAGAGGGATGACCCTGTATGCTTTTTTGTGACATTCTATGGCAGCAGCTTTTCTAGATTCCCCAAAAAAAGATAAATTAGATAAATTCAGAATAATTTAGGATCATGCACATCTCGAGGCTTCCAATTTTGCGTAGTAGTGCAGCAGCCAAGAGATCGCACGGCTCTGCACCCTACGGCCGAATTCTTCCTGTTAGGGGACCCTAAATCGGCCTAAAGTTGCCCCAGAGAGGCAAAGAAGAAGGAGAGGTTCCCATCGACCACAGAGAGATGGCGGACGATCTGATCGGTGTGGGAAAAGCCCTCCAGAAACCAGCAGGAGAAAGGCTAGCTTCACTCCAGAGTCTAGCCCAAGCTACAAACAACCAAAGCCCAAAAGCACTATTTTAAGCTGGATCGTAAACAATGTGCTTGGAACTGGGTAAGAATATTTATTCTCTCTCTTCTATTTGATAATTGATTTCCTGGGGAAAAAAACCAAGAAGCAAAACTCCTCCGAAAGTGAGGAGGGGGACTTTTGCCCCACCCTCTCACAGACAGAAGCAGCAAATTAAACTTTTATGGGGGACAGAAATATATTGAAATGAAATGAATATAAGACTAAAATCTGGATAAGTTTGGAATTGGTGGAAATAGTTAAGATTTTCTTATCAAAAGACTATTGATGAAAACAGAAGAAAGTAATTTCGTGTTTTGAAAACTGAAAAATGAACTGGTGCTGACATATAGTGGTGGATGAAAATATACAACTGTAATCGCTTTGATACAGGAATTGGCAGGAAGCCCAGAAAAAGATAACTTGTTTCTTTGACCTTCAATGTCCTAACCAAACAGAGAACAACTGCAACAAAGAAAAGAAAACATTTTGGGCTACCGACAAAGCGAGAATCATAAACCTTAGGAAAAAAAATTGACCTTCCTGGACTATAAATACTTATTGAACTGTGACTCTAAAGCTGTTTGCAGAAAAAGGAAAACTTTGATTTTTGGCTATCATGGAACATCAGATATCTGCAGAAAGAACATATCAAGAAAAACCAAATACTCTCCAGGAGGAAATGTATGCCATGTTGCAATTAATTCAAACGACAATTATTTTAAACCATGAGGAAATTAAAAACAACTTTGAAAATATAAATGAACACATCTTTAATTTAACCTTACAACAAAAAAACCTCTCAGAAAATAAAAATAGAGAGGGATCAGACAAATCAGACAACTGAATATAAACCAAAACAAAAAGTTTTAAAGATGGAACTCATCAACGGAAGGAATTATAACTTAACTCAGGCGGAGAAAAACTTGCAGGAAATATTGGATATGGAAAAGATAACTTATACTTCAAGATTGCAAAATAAGTGAGGACAAGAAAAAAGATTCTACAAAATGGATTATAGAACTGTCAGGAGAGCTATGAGAACTTGAGAGACAAAAAATGATAAGAAAAATTAAAAGAGAAAGAAAGAACAAAAATTTCAATGAATACAAATGGGCAAAACCTTCCTACAAAAACACTTTACTTGACTTGTCTCTTGCACTTACAACAACATCTACAAGACTACAGGAAGACATTTTGGTTTAGCAGAGCATACTGATTAGGAAAGTGGTTTGGCAAAAAAAAAAAAAGGCTAAAGTTAGAATCAAGAAATCAGACGATGGGATTTATCAGATGGAATATCTAAAGATTAAACACTTGTTTGAATATGGTTAAAGAAATAGAAAAATTCTGAATATAAATGAATTTTAGTTTAAGAGGGATGGACCCTTCAAGTAACAGTATTTTTTTATGATATGAGAAATATAAAAATATTGGGATGGTTAACATGAGGGAAATGTTTTAGATACTTAAGTGTAATGATATAAATGTATTTTAGCTTAAGAGGGATATGTTTTTTAAGCGGCATAGTATTTCCTTCCTTTTCTCTCTCTCTTTTTAAGATATGAAAAATGTAAAACTGTTGGGATGACTTGTATGAGGAAAAAGACTTAGATACTTAAGAATGTCTTGAATATTAAGGAGAAAATAAATCTAAATAAGAACTTTGAAAACAGGATCTACGATGAGGTAATTAAGATGTTTAATTAGAAAAGAAGCCTTATATTGATGTTGTTACTTGTATAAATACTAGGAAAATGTTTATATTCAATTTTTATCTATCAAAATACTAAGAAATGTACTAATTTAAGATTGGTAAAAGAGAATATTATTGGAAGAAGAGAAAATCAAGGAAAGCTACTATGTGGATTAAGGAATTATAGAAATGAATTGTTATTGTTTTTAAATATAAACCCAGACAACACACTGTTTACCAAATATTAAGATTACTATGTTAAGAAAACAATAAAATATATTTAAAAAAAATAGGATCATGCACATCTCACTGGCTCTTTGATTAATATGCCATCCCTTAACCAATGATTGAACTAGTCATTAATTCCAGGTAGGATATGTTCTTGGATCAAATTCAACATTCAATCTTCTACCCATCTGTTGTGAAAATACCCCTCTGAATTCCATCCATTGGATTTTAAATCCAACAATGCTGGTATTGAGTAAGTGCCAATAAGGTGCTTCTCTGGAGTGGGCTGTGTAGGAGGAAAATAATCATTATACAGCATTTATTTCTTATAGTCTACCTTTCCTCTAAAGAACTGAAAAGTGGTGTTCATGGTTCACTTCTCATGTGATCCTCACGTTAACATCACTTTGAGATAGGTTGACTTGAGGAAAAGGAATGTTTCTGATTCAACTAGCAAACTCCATGAACAAAGTGAGATGTGGGAATTTGTCTCAGTACAATACTATAATCACTGCACTGCACCAGTAGGAAAGCTCAACTGATTGCATTGAAACCTCTGCTGAAACTTTTAAAACTTGAGAACTGGATAGAAGACATCTTTCATACCTCTTTTAAACATGATCATCTTAACTAGAACAAAAAAGTTTCAGGAGACAGAACAATTCCAAATATAATGAAGGCAAAGTCAAGGAAAAGTAAAGAGAAAAGTAATTGTAAAGTAGGAATTATGTTACTTTTTGCCTTGGCACTGATTGTGGCTTGTTTCTTTGTATCAAAGCGGGCAATTTCACTTTCTCTTTTCTTGGGGATCCTGTAGCATCCATAAGAAGTGATTGAAGTTTTGGATGGATCTGGACTCCATTTTCACTTCCTTCTACATCTACTGAAAAGGAAAAGAGTTTTAAAACTACAGCATATGCCCTAGACTAATTCTACAACTCGCCGAAGAGGTTAGGGTACAGTGAGAGCAAAGTTCCTTGTGACGGAGGAAGACAAGTTTGTTTGTGGTGATGCTCAAAGAGATCACTTAGGAGAAAAAGAACCTGATTGGTAAAAAAATATGGAATTTTATTTGATAACCAATTGATAACCAACCTGGAAGAAATGTTGATTCTTTCAAGGGAAAGAGACTGGCATCCATTTTCGGTGATGAGAGGTAAGCCCAAAGGCACCAACTGTACTATTAAATATATTAAGTGCCAAAATTTTGCTATTTTTTATTTTTCTATTTTTTGCTACATCAGTAGCTAAAAAAAAACAAAACAATCTGGTCATCTCAGATCAAACTCTAAACAAAGCAATATGCCTATACATAAACAATAGATTTTAATTTTAGGATCCAGTTAAGATACCAAAGGAATAAAAAAGGAACTTTATTTAGAATTCCATTTTTGCAGAATTATGCAATTTTTCTAGGTTGAAGGCTTTTGAGTGGCATGCCAGAGGTTTAAGTAACAAATTAAATAGAATTAATGCAAATACCCTTCAGTCTTGTATTTAATATTTTCCCTTTTCTGTTACATTAAAAATCTCAATTAAGTCATAATTTTTATAGATGCATGAAGCCATTTTTAATACTTTAGGGATCAAAGGAGGCTATGGGGCCAAAGGTGAGTTACCTGCATTTTTAAAGCTAACTTTGGCATCTCAAAATATTGTCAATACTGATGATAGTTAGTGGATGTTGTGGGTGTTGTGATTTGCTATATATTTCATTTTCTCCACTGTGTTACATACTTATAGTATATTCACAAATAGTAATATATCTTTTATGACATTTTGAGCCTTTGATCTCTCTTCTTCCAAAGAAAGCTTAATGTGCCAGAATAAATATTTTCTGTACTCAAGAAAGTAGCTGTGGACAACAAAATATGCTGCATGTAGAACACATAAGATATATGCAACTTACCAATATTATTAAGTGGAGATCAACTAACTAGCTATAAATATATACAGTCGATGTTTTAACATGTTATAAAGTTCTATTAATAACTGCTTTTTTCAAAGAGTCCTTTAGAATGGTTTACCGTTTGTAAAATGGGATGGATAGGTTTCAGGATAGATTGAGGAAGAAATTATGTTTGGGGGCAGTCCTTTGGAATGCTTACGTCTGAGCAAGTCATCTCTGGCTCCTAAAACATAAATATAAATTCATCTCAGCATTTCTATTTTATTATTTATTTATTAAGCTAATTTATATCTGCCCAATTCAACCAGAGGTGAATCTGGGTGGCTTACAAAATTTTCAAAATGCATCATATAATAAAAACCCAATTAAAAAAACCCTATCCCTCCCCTATGGCAGCAACAGCACAATCAAATCAGCCACTACGACAACTTGCCACAGCCAACTCATTGCAGCTAACTTGCCGTGGCCAACTTGCCATGGGACAACTCACCATGACCAACTCACCACAGGGCAACTTACCAGGGGACAAGAGTAACACTAATAACAAAGAAATGGTGGAACAGAATCATTAAATAAAGGGTGGAAAAAGAGGGACAAAATGAAATGTGAATGACAAAAAATTAAATAATTTTAAAATTATTTTAAATAATTAAACTGAACTGTTGGCTTATCTATGTCTTTAAAATTTCCTGTCTACTTGAAGGCACAATACGCAAGAGAAATTCTTTGAGTTTTGAGCCATCTTAACTGTAAAAAGGCAAGTGATTTCATTGCTGTGTAACTCAAACTTTCCATGTTGATGGTTCCAGTAATCCAGGGAACAGGATTGTGGGAGCAGGACTGCTAGCCGCAGCAGGTATTGATGGGTCTGACAGATTTAACGATTGCAAGGGAGTTTCTTACAATTACAGAAACATGCTTCAAAGGACAGTCAAGGAATGTGGTTTGTTAAGTTTTATGAAGAAAATTCATAATCTATTTTCTTGGTATCCAATTAGTTAGAACAATGTGATTTTTAAGAGGAAAGCATCCAATTAATCTTATTGCCCTTATTCACTGCAGAATTTAAAATAAATAGCAGGAGAGAAAAAATGAAAACACAGAAACTATTGCAGATATTTCTCTCTATCATGTGTTTTTTTTAAAGTATACTTGTCAGCTTTTCTAAATAAAGACTGGTAGCATAGAAGCCACTCTGAATCTGATAGACATATGCTACAAGGTTTTCACCAGGCCTTTGCAGATATTACTGTGCAGAGAAGATTTGCACCAGGTAACCTAGTTTCTAAGCTCAGGAAAAACTGACCAAAATTATGAATTTTAGGATCAACCAATTTTTTTGTGATCTATTTATTTTGCATTATTTATTGTGCTATTAGCCAACTAGAGTGGCTGAGACGCGTGGCCATATAAATCAAATCAATTAATAAATAGCTAATTATAAGTAGATGAAAAGCTATCAGGGAGAAAGAAGTCTGACCATCTGACCATCTAAACATCCACTTTAGCTTCCTTACCAAATGTTATTAAAAAAAATTCTAAAGAAACTGAATTCTTGATTAACAATTAACGATATTAGCAATTAGCTAGCAATTTAGTGTCCAAGATGCTATACTTATGCCACTCTTAAATACCACCTATGGTTTCTTAGTGGTTTTTTAAAATATAAATTAGAATTGAAAAATTGAACTGATTAACCTTCTTGGATGAGAAATGAAACATTTTCAAAGAAAAAAACCCCAAAAATCCAGTTGCCTTTTGGAAAAGCACCATTGGGACATCACCGGGATGATTGAGAATCTCCACAGATTGTAAATTAGAACATTTTTTTGTGTGTGAAATAACCAACTTTTTCAAGAGTTCTGTATTTTCTCATTGGATGTTACAAAGTTCTGGACATTGAAATAAAAAAATAATAATTTATATTTATTGCTGACAACACTGTGCGAAATATTATTTACATGTGCTTCATCGACTACAAGAAAGCCTTCAAATGTGTTGATCATGAGAAGCTATGGAGAGCCCTACAGGACCTGGGGGTACCAGCACATCTGGTCATTGGTTAAATCAGGAAGCCATTGTGTGAACACCATATGGAGACGCTGATTGGTTTAAGATAGAGAAAAGATTGTGACAAAGTTGCATTCTCTCCCCTTTCTTATTCAATCTGCATGCCAAAATGACTGTGAAGAACCCTAGAGCTTAAAGAATCAAAAATCGGGATAAAGATTGGAGGTGGAAATGTCAAAATTCTTCGATATGCTGACGATAAAACTCTCATTTCAGAAACCAAAGAAGATCTGGAACATTTGATCAAGAAAATCAAAGAAGAAAGTGAGAATTTTGGTCATTTTCTGAACATCAAAAAGACCAAGTTCATGACTAATGGAAACATTAAAATAGAAACTGACAGTGAAGAGATAGAATGTGTGGAAAAATTCACTTTCCTAGGGTCACAGATTGCTCAAAGCAGTGAATGCGTCCCAGAAATAAAATGTCGGGTTGCATCAGGTCACACAGCAGTGATGAACATAAGCTGAATATGGAAAAGCAAGGACATCAGCCTGGCAAGCAAATGTAGGATAATCCATTCTATTGTATTCCCCATAGCTACCTATTCCCCATAGCTTTCACAACTTTCATGATTTTGAAAGTTGGACATTAACAAAGCAAGACAAGAAGAAAATGGATTCATTTGAATTGTAATAATAGAGAAAGCTCCTGCGTATTCCTTGGATAGCAAAGATGACTAACAAGCAAGTACTGGAACGCATAACAGCAAATATGTCACTGGAAGGAAAAATTACAAAACTGCATTTTACTTATTTTGGTCATGTCATGCGGGAGAATTCACAGGGGAAAACAATTCTGTTTGGAAGAGTTAGAGGTAAAAGGAAACCAGGCCACCAAAAAACATGGTGGTTGGATGCCATCAAACCTGACACCAGCCAGAGCATAGAAGTAGTAGTGCAAGATAAGAAGATCTGGCGAGATCTGGCCCATAGAATCGCCAAAAGACAGTGTCCATACCACTGAATGAACAACATCATCGTCATTATCATTATCATCATCATCATCATCATGTTTGTTTTTCAGTCCCACAATTCTGTAAAATACATCTGCAATAGCCTAAAAGCATTTTTTTCCATTCTCTTTTCTGTCAGTATGAATTACTCTTTCCATATTACTTCTCAAGCATTTGTTATACAGTAGTGTTACCACCTTCAAAGTGTCCAGCACCCAATAAATGCAGTAAATGCAGTATTACTTGCTCTCTCTCTAGCAGTTTCATTTTCAGAGGACTCTGTAAATGTATCCAACAACGGTTCCTTTGTTTCTCTGTCTGGAAACGGAGGGAGCATTCCTGAGAGAATTTCAACATCTGGAAACTTTAAGGGGAGAAAAGAACAAAAGGATGAAATGCAATTTCTGACAAAAACACTGCTAAAACAAAATAAAGAACACAAACAAGAATCTCTAAAACAAATGGTTTATTTGTATATGTCAATTATCAGTATTTGTAGTGGATTTGTTTTATACATTTAGAAGGACAAAAACAAGAGATTAACTTAATGGGCCCTACATAATATCATCTGATTTTCTTTTTTTTATCTGCTGGTCCTTGACCATATTTTATTGATAAAAACTCTCCTAAAAACTGATGTGCTTAAGAAAACTGCAAATCCATAGATCAATACTATAAAATTTATTTTCATATTAAACATACACAAAATGTCATAATTCAGCTCCTTCTCTTCCCTAGTTTTTTGAAGTATTTTTATTTAAATTATGAAGAATATTCATAAATATCCACTATGGCCTCAAACAGGGAGTCACCAGACATAAGAAGGCATTAAGACTAGCTTAAATATAAGCTAAAATAAAGTTAAAATAAGAATCAAAGACTAAAATGATCTAGTGCTATTTAAAGGCAATAGAGAATAAATGCTTTTACTTGAAATCTAAGACCATAGCCCGGGAGACCAGGATAGATAGCAATTTTGTGCTCCACTTTTTTAATACATAACATTTTTTTAAACTCCAAAATATTTGACAGTAGAGTTCTTCTGTTGTAGCTGGCCTACAACTCTTCGAGATACGTATTCTAGACCGTTTTGTAAGTCAATGGTTAAATCGCCAAAAGTCATATCCAACTTTTGGTGACTTAATCCTTTTCAGAAAGGTTTCTTTGAACTAGTCTAACCTGACCCATCGTCCACAATTTGCTCACCTCTTTTTGAAGAAATTGCATTCCAAATTCAGACTTGAAATAGGGAGGGATCATTTTGTACCTCATCCTCTTAAGACAATTCTTTCCGTCCTCAATTTCCTGCCTGAATTTTTTTTAAATGGGAGTAAAGCAGAAATATATATATAGTAATATAATGGTTTCACGTTATTTTATAATTTATTCTGGTGATTATTAATGCATACTATTTGTTTTAAAAAGACAATTTAGATGTGTTTATAGATCTTTATTATTTTCTCAATTTTGCTAAAATTAATAAAGAGAAAGGACTACTGAATAAGCCTTATGCATGCATATAAATTTGTAAACTTTATTTTGTTTATATAATTGTTACTTTTTATATTCTAGAAATTATTTCTTCCACTCTGGAAGACAATAAGTTTTAAAAAAAACTGATTCACAAAAAGCTGAGGGACTGGCAAACTGTTTTCATTTTTCATGTGTAATTCTCTTGCTCACTTATAGAAAAATAATTTTCAGTTGCAATGATATACTTTTTTTTCTGGCAGTACATTACTGAAAATTAAATGAAAAAAATTATTTCACAGATCGTAAAAGGGCCACAGTTCCCCAACCCTGTTTTATAGAATACAGGAAAGCAGGAGAAGCGAGGTCCAGGGAGTGAGAAGGCTTCCAGGATGCAACTGAAGAATTAAAGCCTTTCTGTTCTCTCATTAATACATGTTTTTATTTTGATATGTCACTGATACTAGACAAATTACAAATTACTAACATGTCCTATCATTTGTGTATGTGTGTATGCACATACAGAGAAAAAAGTTATGCAAGCTCAAAGAAGGCCTTCTTTATTGGTTCTCTCCAAGAGCATGCTAATATAATAAAAATATAAACCTGCTTACAATGTAAACTTTTAAGAGGTCTTGGAAATACCATATTAAGTACATAGCTAAAGGAGTGGGAATTCTCCCATTAGGGAAGCTAGTAGTAATTTGTGAGATTAAGTTAAATAAAATTTACACAATAGAAAATAAAGGAAAGGAGATGAAAATACTAGGAAGAATACAAGAAACAATATAAAAAAACAGGTTACTTAAAAAATTTCCTATATTTATCCAGGAGAAGGGGATATGGAGAATAGAATTGTTGGTTCAAATAGGTAGTAGATTTTCATTTGTTAGAGATATTAGAGGAAATCTTGCATGGTCATCTTACAAGGAGTTTACAGCAACATCCTATAAAAAACAGCATGAAGTAGGACATTGGCAAGATTATTTTGAAGTTGATATCCAATTCTGATTCTCTCTTCCCAAATCTTTGCTGAGCACTGTGGAATTCTGCTCAGAGTTATTCCTAATAGTACTTAAATGAGAAACAGGTTGCAGAAATTTATACTAGAAATAACTGTCTAATTCAAAAACTTCAGACTTCAAAAAACTCCCCCCCAGCTTCTGTTTATGGCTTCTAAATCATATTCTAAAACTAATGCACCATTACCTGGTCTGCGCTAATTTGCTCTGCCAGACAGAAATCTTCACGGGCTCGTCGTGGCTGCATAAAGGAAAATGAAACATTTCATCAAATTCATAGTTATTTAGAAAGCATTCAATTTGATTTTAAATATGACATGGCATATGGCTCTATTTCATATGGTAAAATCCAATCATATGTTTCTATTTCAAGGATTATTCAATGGAATAATCTCATTTTAGCAACACTAAAAAGAGTTAGATGGTTAGCTTCCTTAGATATCCCATTATAACATCTATCCTATTGTGACTCTATAGCACCATATTATGATAATTTATCATGGTTTTACCTTAATTTAATATTTTATCTTGTATACTGTAAATGCAGCTCCATCTGCATGAGTGGTGGTCGAACTTGCCCACTGCTCATGCAAGTGGAGCTTTGCGCACAGGCACACTCATCTGCCACTTGTGTGGCCCAGTTCCGAACAGAGCACGGCCCAGTACCAGGCCATGGCCTGCAAGTCGGAAACACCTGCTTTTAGAGTAACTTCTGAAAGCTGGTAGTGGGATGGAGTCAAAAAGAAAATCTTGCTACACTAACAGATATCCTCTATCACACTATTGGGTCCACCAAATATGAAATAAAATAAAATAAACTGTCCGTGAAAGAGCAAACAATACCTGAAATAACGGTGTTACCTTCAAATCTAATGCCTACTCTAAATGGTAGTTTGCTTACTCAATATCTATTAAACAACGTATGAGGTACACAATAAATGTACATGTTATATTTTTTCATTTCTGCTAAAAGAATAGGCATATAGAGGCACTTAACTAAGGTATTTTTAGGAAAGGAGATATGGTAAGCTGGAGGAATAGAAGCTATATACACTGACTTAAAGCATACTTTTAGAATAGTGCACACTATTGTAGAATAGCATATAGCTTATGAATAACATATTATTCATTTATATAAGGTTTATTTTTTATAAAACTGCCTAGAGTTAGTATTTTAAAGTATAACTATGAACCAAAGTGCAGCCATGTTTAACTGAAGCATGAAGTCTGTTACACACATAGCTTTTAGATGAAAAGTAGGCACTCTTATAGATAAACAAGGGAAGACATAAATCTTTTATAATTGCAATTATCCAAAATGGGTAACAGTTCACTTTGTAGATAAGGTTATACCCTTAGATAGCAGGATGTTACAAATCATGCCACAGAAAAGGGAGGGACGATAAGACAGGAACAAAGGGGGCTTTTTGATCTAATAATTGGAGGGTTTGGTAACTGTAATGGTTGCTAGGCAGTCAGAAAGCATATGACCGGGTGGGCCTATCAACTGGGCTCACTTTGGAAGGATGTGGCGTGATGCACGGGACAGGGTATAAAAACCTATGCAAAAATTGATTCAGGTGTGAACTCTGGGATTTGCCATTACCAAGAGTTCCACTAGCTTTTGCAAAAGCTTTAATAAAACTTATTTTGTTTTCCAACACCTTTGGAGTTGAATATTTATTCCTCACAAACATATCAGGATTAGGGCACCCAGGAAGAGTTTTAATCTAACATTTTTTAAAGCTATTTTTTTTTAATTTTCCAACAGCTCTCCACGTAAGAACTTATACTTTAGGGTCAAACTAGATGAGACTATAATTCCTGATTTCTTTCTGCTTTTGCACAAGAGAAACAGTAGTTTTGGAGTATGACAACAGCACTGGAGTCAATGAAAATTCATTCTTGGGAGGTTTCTCTAAAAATTGCTCCAAAGCTTCAGGAAATGACTGTGTTACGGTTGAAATGCTGAAAGCTGGTGATCACAGTTTACACAAGATACTAGCAAAACTATACTCAAAATGCCTCAGAGAAGAAAAAATACCCAATGCATGGAAGAATGCGGAAGTGATTCTTATACACAAGAAAGGGGCCAAGATGATTTAAAGAACTGTCGCCCAATAAGCCTTCTTTCAGCCATTTACAAGGTTTTCAGATAATAACAAAAAGAATATTGAGAATACTAAATGATGCACAGCCAAAGGATCAGGCAGGGTTCAGAAGTGACTGCAGCACAATGGATCACATCCAGGTTGTTCAGCAAGTCATTGAAAGGCACAATGAGTCCACCATGCTTCTGTGCATGGCTTTCATTGACTACAAAAAGGCATTTGACTCAGTATTCCAACAAGCAATAATTAAGGCATTGCTCAACCAAGGTGTAGACATTCTTACATAAACTTAGAACAATCAATTTATGAAAAAAAACCAATGGCAACAATTTACCGTAATGACCTTAAAGTAGAAATCAACATAGAATGAGGTGTATGACAAGGTGATACAATATCACCTACCCTTTTCTCAGCCTGGTTGAAAAAGTATTTCACAAACTAGATTGGGCAAAAGATAGAATAAAAATCAATGATGTCTATTTAAAACACTTCAGATTTGCAGATGATGTTGTTCTCTTCTCACAAGACCAATAAGAACTACAAAGACACATGCAAGAGCTGCACAAAGCAGGAGAACCATTTGGCTTAAAAATAAACCTGAAAAAGAGCCAGGTTATGTTTAATAAATTCACCAAAGAAAGAAAAAAATATATCTGGAGAAGAGCTATAGTAGATGTAGTAGACCACTACGTATACCTTGGCCAACAGATCTCAATGGAAGGTGATACAATAAAGGAAATTGAACAGCGTGTTAAATGTGGTTGGCAGGCATTTGGCAAGCTAAGCATAATTTTCAAGAACAAACTCCTCCTATGCCTGAACAGAAAAGTTTTTGATCAGTGTGTGCTACCTTCTCTAACATATGCAAGTGAAACATGGACACTAACCTTACAATCAATACAAAAGCTACAAGTGGCACAAAGAGCTATGGAAAGATACACGCTCGGCATTACAAGACAAATAGAAAGACCTGCACATGGATTACAGAACAAACAAAAGTATACAATATCATCAAGAAAGTAAAAGAATTGAAATGGAAATGGGCTGGTCACATAGCAAGAAGAACTGATGGCAGGTCGACCAAGGCAGTCATAGAATAGATCCCACTTGATAAAAAGCATCCATGAAAGAGACCTAAAACAAGATGGATTGACAACATCAGCAAGTATTGCGGGCCTAATTGGCAAAAGAAAGCTCAGGACCATATTGGTTGGAAACATTTGGAAGAGGCTTTCATCCTGCAGTGGATAGACAGTGGATAGAATGATGATGATGATGATATTGAAGTAATCTGATTGTTTTAGATACCAATATCTCCAAGAGAAGAGAGTTCAGTTTAGTAACAACAGCAGAAAAATCTTTGGAGATTTCCTTCACTAATCTCATGTTTTGTAAAATACTACAGTACAATATGTGTATTTTTATTAAATTTATTTCTGCTCTACAAGACATACTGTGTGGAATGTGGTCCAGTCATAGGAGGAAGGAGAGCTTTCCCAGAGAGCAGGAAGAGGCTGAAGGTGATTCACAGACTACCTCTAGTAGTTATGCTGTTAGTTGCTTTAGTCTCGCAAGATTAGTGTCAGATCCAGTCAAGAATGACACGTGAAGTTACTTCCGAGTAGTCTTTTTTATTTTGTTTATCTATAGACAGAAATCTTGGCAGACTAAAACAACTATTAGCATAACTATTAGATACACTGTGAATTGCTGGGGTGAGTCCGCCTTCACCCTCTTGATTCCAAGCTCTGCTGTCTGCTCTCTAGGAAAGAATCCTCCCTCCTGCGACTCTGCACTACATTCCATCACACATATCCAACCATACATAATAAGAAAACCATTGCTATAACTTTTGGAAAAGTTTCTTGCACCAAACTCTCTTACCTCATCTTCATCATTTTCCAATATTCTTCCGTTTGCTTTGAGAATACTTCCCGTGATGAACTTCGCACCTGTGAAATCATTGCCTGCTCATACAGTACAGAAACTGGAGCTGCAAATTCATGGAAAAAAATAACAAAAACTAATCTTACATTTGTTGCCATTTTTCACTTAAAGTCTGCATTCATTGCTTTTACTTAATAGGGTTGGATCTATCTCATCCATTTCCAAAACGGAATGGGACATCTCAGTGCTGTCATCTCAGCAGCACCATCTTGCTATGGCCATGTCGCCAGGGGCATCTCTGCACTGCCATCTCAGCGCAGGACAAATCGCCATGGGAAACTCACGGTGGGATAACTTGATGAGCCTCCTGTGGCAGTTCCCTTCACGGGTCTGTGTGTGCTGGAAAGCGAGGCAAGGAAACCTTTGGAGAAGGGAGATGAACCTCCCCCATCAAAGGCAGGCTAAGCAGGAGTCATTGACAGTCACCAGACAGCTGTCACCATCCCTGCTTGCCCCTCTCCCCACCTGGGAGCCATCAGGGTCCAGCGCAGCATGTCAAGAAGTCCAGAATGCCGAGACTGGCACAGAGACACCTTCCAGTGAGGACCCGCAGGAAAAAAGGAATGGGCAGGATATGCTTCTTGTGCATGGGCAATGCCAAGGCAGGCGGGACATGCTTCTCGCATGTGGGCAGCACAACACTGAGACTGACACAGATGCCATCCTCCCATGAGGAAAAAGGAATGGGTGGGACATGCCTCTTATGTGTGGGCAGTGCAGCACTGAGACTGGCACAGAGAACACCCTCCTATGAGGGCCCGTGGGGAAAAAAGAACCGCCAAATGTGGCCCAGAGGGAAGGCCTCCCTAGTGGGTGAATAGCAGACAGGACGTGAAGGGAGGTGCTGTGGAGGGTGCGTGTCAAGTTGTCCCGTGGCAAGTTTTCCATGGCAATTTGTCCTATGCCGAAGTGGTTGTGGCGACATGTCCATGGCAAGGTGGCAGTGCCAAGATGTCATAGCTCCTTCACAAAACAATATGTTCACAGGTATTTTGCTGTACAAAGAAGTTCCAATCAGGATATGAGTACCAATGGCCTCCAGACATGGCAGTCATTGTTTCTCAAACAGGGAATATATAGGAATCATTGATCATTTTCCATATGAACATCTTTAAGTAGTACTCAATTCTTGCTATCTAAATTCTGCTAGAATTCTCATTCCTATACCTTTAACTAGGAGAAAGAGTGCATTATAGGGCAACAATTTTTGAATCAAGGTACCTCAAACGGATTAACTTATAGAATGCATCCAAAATCTGGGGCCAATGACTCCCGTGGAAATAAAATTTAGCAAATTTTATAAAACATTTTATGACATAAATATTATCATAAAACAGTTTAGTACATAATACAAAATGTTATGAAACACTTCTTGTGTTGATATTTGACTGTGTTATGCAGTTCAAGACAGATATATCTCTATATGTATCCCAACTTTTCAATTGAATATAGTACATTACAAGTTCTGTCATTTTTTTAAAAAAGCATTGAGGAACATGACAAGAAAATATCTCAAAAGAGTGATCCAATGGGTCACAGGTTTATGTACTAGCAATGTAAAATGCAAACATTGGGCTACCATAATAAATTGTGAGTTAAGCTTTACCCAAATCAATGCTCAACCTAGGGAATATGGTCAAATGGTTTAACTGACAGAGCCACAGAACTGCCGGCTTTTCCTCTACTGGTCTCTTCCTTCAATAATCTGAGCAAGCTGAGAATGTATACCCTCACAGCTGCCATTTTCAATCTACACTGGAACTGAAATTAGGGCTTCCTGACTGACACTTGCACTGGAATGCAGTTGGACAGCAAATGAAGATAACATGCACAATATTTAGCAAGGAAGCCCTTTTGCAAATGGCTGATGCAGTAAATCAAGGGATGGCATGCAGGTGCCATTTACATAAAGCAAGCAAAGAGAATTGCTAGATACTGCCTTCTTCCCCCTACTGCAAATCACTTGTTTGTCACAACAGAAGTCTTTTAGAATCTAGCGGGCTTCTTGAATAGATTGTGACAGGTTTGAGCATTGGTATGACAGGTATAAAGCACCCTATGAACATAATTTGAAGAGAACAAGTGAGAAGCCAAGGCTTCTAACTACTGAGAAGAGAATTTCCTGTCAGGCAGTCTACAAAAGTACACATGAATCCTTGTCTTAGGATACTAACTAGGTCTGAACTGGCCAATTGCAAGACAATTATGCAAATTGTATACATAAAAATACAGACATATAGGTGTGTGTGTGTGTGCATACACACAGTTTAGAGTCAACTGCTGTTAATTTAGATACATGGTATAAACTTCTAAAACATACTGATTGCAGCACTCAATGCTCAGATACTTCTCAGTTTCAAGAAAAACCTCAAATTATGAAAATCCTGGTTTAAAATATGTTAGGACCCATGAAACTCATTTTCCAAAAAGAAGCAATTGACTTTCTATACCAGTGGTTCTCAACCTGTGGGTCGGGACCCCATTTGGGGTTGATCGACCATTTCATGGGGGTCGCCAAGCAAGGCTGTCCCCCATTTTTTTTGTCCACCATTTTTTTTGTCCACCNCTTTTCCGGCGGGTGCCTTACCTCCCTTGAGCTGGGCCAGCTGGTGGTCGGCCTGCTCCGTCTCTGCCGCTTGCCAGCTACGCCTCGGCCGGCGCAGGGGGCGGAACCACGCATGCACGGCGCTCCCGGGCAGGGAAAGTCCTCGACTTACGACCGGTTGGGTAGTCCTCGACTTACGACCGGTTTAGTCCTCGACTTATGACCGGTTTAGTCCTCGACTTACGACTGGTTGGGGTCGCGGCATTAAAAAGGTTGAGAACCACTGTTCTATACTTTGCAGTGCCAAATTAAAATGCTCACACTCATCCCAATATTTTTAATAAATGTATTGCAGATTTCAATCCTGAACATTTACAAGATTTCCTGAATGGTTTCTAGGATTCCCATTTGTAAATAATAGTTAATAATTCTGTATCCTTTTTGAATGACACACGTTAGAATTTGAAGACTTACAAATTGGAGGAAAATATTATTCAAAATATGAATAATCATTAACTCCACAAGGGAAGATTTAAAAACGTAGAATATTAAATTCTTACCTCTACTGCAAAATTCTGAGGATTCTTCAAGACTGGGAAAAGACTGCAATAAACATAAATAGAAGTTCTCTTGACTCTATTCATATAAAATGATTGTGGGACAAATTGGACATCTCATCTTTTGCTAGAGACCTGATTGCACTTATTAAAATGTTGCATTATAATGCCTATATCCAATTAGGCTTTAAAACCAAGTCAATTTTCTGTTGTAATCCTACTTCCCAGGCTGCCAAACAAGGGTATGTTTTAGCTTTCTTGCTACTTATTTTTTGGGTCAATGATACGGCTTTGTGAGTTAGGTGGACAGTCTCTAAATCTGATAAATAAATAAATAATAAATAAAACTCACAAACCTGCCATCACAGATCTGGATAGTAAATCTACTGCATTATTTTTATATGCAGATAAGTAATTACCAAAAGATGGCAAAATAATGGGACTCTAACTGAACAGATTAAGATCTTTAAATATCTTGCAATTAAATTTTTAAATTTAATTAAATATTTCCCTACTAAAGGCACTTGTAGGGGGCTCAATGTCAATAATCAAAAGAGAAGGTCATAAGAAGGTAGCTGTTATTTCAAGGCTTTTCTGTAAAAAAAAAGTTATATACCAGGTAGACTAAAAGTTTTTGAGGTCAAAGTAATAACAAAATTATCTTATAGCTTCTAAATGATTGCAATATATAAGGACATAGAGTCATTAGAACATGTTCAGCCAGGATTTCTAAGGGATTTCTAAACCTCCAACTAAGCACAAAATGACAATAATAATAATAATAATAATAATAATAATAATAATAATAATAATAATAATAATAATAATAATAATAGTAATAATAAAAAGTTGGAAGGGACCTTGGAAGTCATCTAGTCCAACCCCCAGCTCAGGCAGGAAACCCTATACCATTTTGGACAAATGGCTGTCTAGTTTCTTCTTAAAAACTTCCAATGTTGGAGCATTCACCGCTTCTGGAGGCAGGTATGTTACATATTGACTTTTTTTTTGTTAATTCAAGCCATTTGATTGTGGTTTATCATTGCATTTGAACTGCCTAGAGGTTGCTGGGAGGAGCTGCAAGCTGTGAGTTAAGGGGGAGTGCGGAGGAGAAAAGGGGCTGAGCTTCTGGTTGGACCTCCATTGCATTTGAACTGCCCAGGGGTTGCTGGGCAAGCTGCAAGCTATGAGTTAAGGGCTGAGCTTCTGATTGGCTTAGTTCAGTGCAACACTTGTTTTGCAGCTGTCTTTTGCAGTACTCTTTTCAAACTTGCAACTGTCCTATGTGTAAACAAATCACTAGTCTAGGACAGATTACTTATCTAGGGTCTGTAATCTGTGCTCTTCAGTCAGAAATTAGGTGTCCAGTTCAGCCCTTCTGCTCTACTGAGGTGCCGTGCTATCAGCCCCCTCCACCACAAAGATTCTGCAGGAGAAGGGCAGTATGGACAACTGTGGGATCCGGCAGGGTGAGACCTGTGAACCATAAACACAAAGCTTTCGCTGTGTCCCTGCATAACTGATACAGTGCCCTTGCTGACCTTAATAGGGACACCAAGGAGACAGGTCAAGGTTGTGATGATGATAACTCAAATAAGCAGGGGATAGTGGTCCGAGATGAGGAACATGTTTTGGACAGAGGACAGTGTGAATCAGGTATTGCACATCAGTCATGCAAGAAGAACAAGGCATCCAAAAAGAGAAGCCACCTTCTGGTTGGTGATTCAATTATAAGGGATGTAAATTTAGGAAAGGATACAGAGGTTTCAAAGGAAGTCAGGTGTCTTCCAGGTGCTACTGCCAGTAGGGACAAGAAGCGTATTTTTAAGATAGTCAAGAATGCCAGCAAGGACTGTGATGTGGATGCTATTGTAATAATAATAATAATAATAAAGTTGGAAGGGACCTTGGAGGTCATCGAGTTCAACCCCCTGCTCAGGCAGGAAACCCTATACCATTTCGGACAGATGGCTGTCCAGTCTTTTCTTTAAAACCTCCAGTGTTGGAGCATTCACCGCTTCTGGAGGCAGGTTGTTCCACTGGTTAATTGTTCTAACTCAGTCCTTCAAAGAGGAATCAAGATCCAACGAAGAGAGAAACCAATCAAAGGTGGGCAACGAAGAACAGGACGGAAGTCCACGAAACCTCTTATCGAACTGAGGGAGAAGAAACACCGTCGGGGACTCTATGACCTACACTGCTATCATGTCCCCCCTCGTCCTTCTCTTCATTAAACTAGACATACCCAATTCCAGCAACCGTTCCTTATATGTTTTAGCCTCTAGTCTCCTAATCATCTCTATCACAAAAAGATGTACTTTCTGTGAAGAATGATTTCCAGAGTTTGGGGCAGGAACATAGCAGGATAGGCTGTAGGGTTACTTTTTCAGAAGTTTCACCAGTGTATAAGGAACAAAATGGAAAAGGCCAGCGCATAGCAGAATTCAATATGTGGCTAAAGGAGTGGTATAAAGGGGAAGGCTTTGGTTATATTTGGTTATATTTGCAGCTGGTCCAATGAAAAAGTGTGCAAAAGAGACTGCTTGCATCCATCAAAGAAAGGGACTGAGTTACTTGGCAATAAATTCACACATTTTCTGGAGAAATATTTAAACTGAACAACAGGGACAGTGAGTTAATTGATACAGAACATTCCTGTTCCCGTCAATCTAAAAATTATAGGATTATCAGTGCGTGTCCATAGAGGACAAGAATATCAACCTAGCTGTCAAGCAAAATCAAGCTTTTAATAGTGAGTGCCACACCAAGTGCACTAATCAAACAAGAGGTAAGAAAATAGGGGAACTTAGGCACCACACAGGTTATGTAGAAAGTAAACACAGGGTTAGTCATAAAGGACTCAAATGTCTATATACCAACACATAGAGCATGAGCAATAAACAGGGTGGACTAGAAATTCAGGTAAATGAGAGCAGATATGATATTGTTGCCACAAATGGAACACACAGCTGTTGTTGTTAGTTGCAAAATTGTGTCCAACCCATCGCGACCCCATGGACAACATTCCTCCAGGCAGAACATACAGCTAGAGGGATTTAAATTATTTAAAAGAAACAGACCAAATAAAAGAGGAGATGGGGTTGCTCTATATATAAGAAATAACATCTCCATAGAAATAGAGCACAACAATGTCTTGAATGCATTTGGGTCAATATAAAAGAGGGAAAAAATGACATTGCTATGTAACTTGCTTTAAAAAAACACACAGAAAGCTTTTAAAAGGAATAATTCTCCTTCCATAAAAACAATTATATATTTCCTTTTGAATTTTGACTTATTTAACTAAGCCCATTTTACAGAAGTGTATCAGTTTCACAAAAGCATGCCCACTTATCCAAGCATAAGAACATTTTATTTGTTCATTATTTTGTGTTTTTTGGGATATACCTTTCTACCCATGAAACATTTAAGGCAGCTGAATACTTCCGCAGCATTCACCATACATAAATATTATTTTTATAAGAACAACTGCTATTATTATTACTTGTTGATGATGATCATGATATTACTATCTTAATCTTAAATTGGAAGGATGCAAACTCTGAAATATTAGTGTCGTCTGTAATTTTAGAACGTTGTCGTGAAATAAAGAAATTATTTGCAATTCTCTGAATAGAAACTCATAATTTAAAGATGCCTATAAAAAGCCAGCATCAGTATGTGCATAATTTGTATATAAGTTTTAAAGAATATGAATCTATGATTGGCTAATAAAGAAAAATTTACTTCTTGTACTATGTACTTAGAACTAGAATAGAAAATCAGAATCAAGCAAGCCATAATTCAGTGGTTGGGATAAAATTATAAATTATGATTTGTTACAAAAATGAAATTAAGAGAACAGAACACACACACACACACATTTTCAGAATGAGCTAATGAGCTACCAAGCAATAACATGATTGTTATGACTGTTCTTTTTTTGTATAAGTGCATAAACCTAGATAATTTAAATTATTTAAGGATGAGTAAGAAGCCAAAATTCAACAGCAAAAGTCTTCCATTTCACTAGAAGAGGCTGGGCTGATTTTTTTCTTATAGTGAGGAGGTGGCTTTGGAGGTTTTTAATAGTTCAAAGTGAGCTTGTAAAACAAATTTCTGTTAAAAGAATTTCTGGCCTCAAAATGCTTCTGAAATACTGTTTGAAAAAGATAGAAACTTGACTGAAAGTCCAATGGGCTTATTAGCTCAGTTTGTGAGCTAATAAGCCACGTCTAATTATTTGGTCTTCTGATGTTTCACCAGCAACTCTTGCCGGTATCTTCAGAGGTGAAAGTGCTCACCGACACTGGGTTGACACTGGGCGTGAAAACCTGCATCCAGTTATTGAAAGTATTGCAAAACTTTCCAATGATTGAACAAATAATCTGCACTCATGATATTACCTAGTTTGGTTAATGAAATGTCTGCAAGAAAACAACCAAGCTCAGAGAGCATTAAGGACCCCTCATTTCAACCATGAGCTACAAATATTCTCCTTTATTGATATGAAAGAATCTGTTTCACATCTGAAACAGAAATGTCTGATTCAAGTTTGAAACATTTCACCCAAATCATGCCATTGACATTTATCCATCAAATTTCAATAATCTGACTTTGGGGGCAGCAAGTAGTGTTATAGGACACACTATGTTGCTTGCCTGCTGTAGTTTCCACTTTCACCCCAACTGGAACTGTAAAGAAGTCACAAGGAAAAAAGCACATTTCTCACCATAACAAGCTTGAGAAGGTCTGCAGCATTTTTCTTTTCCTGTTCCGTTCTTGGTTCTTTAATCATCCTATCTTCAATCTCATCTTCTTGCTTAATGATTTTGTCAATGTATTCCTAACAATATGACAAGTAAGACATGCTACTTGATCAATTCCTGTTAATTGATTTCTTTTGGAAATGGATTTATAAATACAGACCAAAGTTTCAACATCTTAACTATTTTACATATAATTTAAAAATATATTTCATAATCTTCCCATGGGGGGGGGAAGAAGATTTTTCCCCCCAAGCCTTGAAATCTCTAATTTGATTCTTTGTACAGTTCCCTAGGAATAATTTCCACTGAATGCAGAGACAGCTACTTTTGAGTAAGCATATTTTATCAGGGTAACTAACAGTAGATGTGAAAACTAATATTAAGTAAATGAATATTCATTTCAATAACCTTGCCAAATTTGACTGAATTTTATAATAATATTATTTGAGGAGGCCAGTACAAGATTGCTTAAATTGTTTCAAGTTGATAACTTTATTAAGGGAAATGGAAGTAAAGAGACTTGAGATTTTAATTCTCTCATATATTTGTAATATCTAAAGTAGTTGTCATGGTCCTGAAACATATTCCTCTCACCAGATCTATTTGGGTGAGCAGAGACAATCAAGATCTATTTGGGTGAGCAGAGACAATCAATATGATCTGCTGTACATTGATTATTTCTCTTTTTATGCCTGCCATTCTTCTTGATTTTCTTAATATTTCATGTCTCACTTGCTCTCAACTACATTAAAACAGTCTGTCATTAAAATTGTTTGGGTGGAAATTCACAAATCATTTTAGTTTTGAACATCTTTTAAATACAAGTTTTGTACAAATCCCACCCTGTCTTCCATTTGCTCTACTGTCACACACCAAAGCTGTTTGTGCCTCCCTTAGTTCTGTTCACCTGACTCCAGCTCCTTACATTAATCTGGCAGTCTCTTCCCACCATTTCAGCCCTTTCATGTACGTTATGGTTTAAATATCTTTTCAGTAGTTTCTTCCTTTACTTACAAAAGCAAATCATTTTTTTATTTTTCAGGGATACATGAATCACCTATCTGTATTTTTGCACTTTACCTTGACAGAAGATTGCAATTTGTGTCTTAATTCATCAGTGACTGGCTCATACTGGATTAGTCGACGAATTTGGAGCACATTTGGACATTTTTTTATAGGTGCAGGAGAAACTGCTAATTCCTTGAACTCAATGCACAGGCCTTTCCAAGCATGCATTCCAAACGGAGGGCCAGGGGTCTTCCTCTGAATCGAGACGACAAGGGGAAAAGGAGAGGGGTGCTTATCATGTAATTCTACTGAACTTTCTTCTACATAAAATGTTCGGTAACAGCATATAATCAAATCAAATGTCAGCCAGAGACTGGAATGCTTGCTATTTACAGAACAGGAATTATATCTCAATGTAAGTACATTTAGAAAACTAAAATTACAACCAGTCCTCACCTACTGCAATAGTGGAATTGGAAAATGTATTGCTAAGCGGCACAGTAATTATGCGTGATGTCATGTGGTTACACCGATGGCAGTTCCAGTTGCGACTGTTCAGTGAAGCACCACAGGTTGTAAATTGCAAATGCCATGTGACCATAACTTGTGACTTCTTGCAGATTTTCCCACTGACTTTGCTTGATGGAAGCTGGCTGTCAAGGTTGCAAATGATGATCAATAGCTATAGCAGTTTGATCAATAGCAAATAGCCCTTATGTGTCAAGGTGGTTGCAAACAACTTTGAGGACTGGTTGTAGTTCTCTAATTTCAGCATCCTTGTAAGTTTGAACAGTCAGTGAACAAGTGACTATTCACTTGCATACAGTGAACAGTAAGCAAGGACTACCTGTAATGTTCTTGAGACCAAAATTGTTACATGATGTTGTAATCGTGAGTACATTAAAATGTGTTTTCTATGTAGTTCGAATAAATGTAAAGAATGGTTCTTGGGAGATAAATAAAGAATTAGACACCACTAGTAAGAAGGACTGAGCTCTTCTTGTTTTCTTCTTCACAGTCTTATATGCAATTGCACTACTAATGGAACGAAAGAAAATTAGCACAAATCACTGTATATTCCTATGGGTTTTTCTTTGTTCTTGTAAATTATAATGTGATTAAAATTCTGAATTTGTCAAAAACTAATACTTTGTTTATTTAACTTATTAAGCTTCTTAGCTGGCCAGATGCCAATGAAATGGGCAGAAGCATCCATGGATGCGGTGACAATCTACAAGATGACAGAGTGGGATGTCATAGTACAATCCTTATCCGTTTTGTGCCTGCATGTGATGTCAACATATACACAAAAGGTGAAAAGCTCAGATCCAAATATCATACTCGCTATCGTGCAGATTTTGACATAGACACATCCCTACAGATGCAGCTGGGTACAGGGCTTCAAAGACAAAAAGTGAAAAGATAATGTAGTGTCACTTAACAGATCAAAAGTGTCACATCATAGTCAAATATTGAAGGATGTGAAAACTACCTACCTCCACAGGAGGAAAGTTTTCCCAATCCCTGGATTGGAGATTGTAAGGAACAATGGTGTCAGAGTCTTTTTTCATTATCCATTGAGATACTTCAGTCAAAGGGCAAAGAACAGTAATGCTTAAGACTCCTGTTTTGAAAGATGAGAGAAAATTTGGGAACACAATAATATACGAATAGCTGCTTGTACTGTGGAATATTTGTATGAGGCTAGTTGTCCTTATTATTAGAGATAAATAATATAAATATGTTTTAAAATCAAAGTCAATAAGTCCTCCCAGTTCAGAAACGCTTACAGTTTTTCAATACCACTCTGCCCTTTTCAAGCCTTAAAAAATATATAATATGGAAAAGAATAGTTATAAACTAGATTTTAATACTATCTGGTATTAAAACTACTTGGACAGTAGTCTATGTTACAGAATACATATCGTACAAAAACATTTATATTTTTATTTTTCTGAACATTTCCTAAAACAAATAGAAGGCTCATAGAAGAGTATCAAGTATTTATAATTACATCTCAGAAAAATTTCAAAATACTCATACAACCATGTAACCACAGGATATATTTCTGTGATATTAAAAAAAAAAACAATATTTGAAAATCATGTAAAGGCTAAAACTAATTTTGAAGTGAAGCTGGCATATGAATTTTTCTTAAATTCATATATACATTTACAACATTTACCTTGCTTTAACGTTTGCTTATTAACATTCACAAATCTAATTCTGAAGTCAGGCTCAGAGAAACAAGAGATATCTCTGTGAAATGGTGCATTCTTACCTGGGCATTCTTGTATTGCCTCCTGAAGAACAGTTATAGTGGGATGACCGTATGCCATGGCCAGATATTCTTCTGTATCTTTGGTGCGGAGGAGTTCAGTTCCTGAGCCATCCGCATGGACAATGAAGAATCTAGGTCATCGTTCCCACAAATGAGATCAGTTCAATTATGCAAAGCAAATTAAACAAAAAATTCCATACGAATTACTTGACAAATACAATTAAGCCCACAATATTTATGCACCACATACCTGGGTGCATGTTCCCCATATATTACAGGAATCTGAATTTCTGTGGGTTCAGTTACTTTGCTTTCAATATCAATGGTAGGAATGAATGTAGATGTGATACCATCAGCCATGACCTGCAAAACAAAAGAAATGCTTTTTCTTAATTATCCTTCTGCCTACTTTGGTAGAGTGCACATAGAAGCATCTTCCATATAAACATACAGAGCTACCACAATCATGCAATATTTGGATTGGTTACTATTTGATTCCAGACTTTGCAACCATTCTCTCTCCTCCCTGCTTCTATGACCAAGATGGGAAATGTCAGCAATAACAATGGTAAAAAAAGAATTTGCCCAAAAACTAAGCATAAGCATGACAACAAATACAAAGGCAAAAAGCATCAAAAGACTGAGCCTTCATCATCAATCAATGGCTAAAGTACCATTCGACCTAAAATTGAGAATTTATTAGGGCCAAATAACCCACAAGGTGACTCATCAGTCTGCTGTAGTAACATCCAAGCCTTGCTTCATTGGGATAGCGAGAAGCTAACTATCCAGAGGAGAACGTTAATAAGAGTTGGAGAATGAGATGAAGCCCTAATCAGCCAATTTTGTGTCCGATGTGGAATTAGTTGCTAGAATCGGCTCACAATTAGACTGGCAGAGAAATACCAGTAACTGGCTGTTGCTGGGTGGGAGAAGATGCAAAAAGTGGTTTCTTTCCAACATTCCTCCAGTGCTAATAGATAATATTAAAATTATTATATTTTTAAACCAAATAAAGCTGCAAATGCAGAGTACAATATATCAGTTCTGAAATTTCTGGAATGAGATTACCTCAAGTAATTTTGGCCTGGGTATATTAATTGTCTATATTTCAGATTTGTAAATTGATGAAATATCAGTTATGGCCTAGGGGAAATAAACCTTTGATTATCCAGGAGCAAAATGTATCCTTAAGGGAAAAAAAATCTTTATTTATATGGTATTCAAGTTAAGCATTTTTAAATACATCACAATTTATAGTTAATCCATTAAGAATTTTAAAAACAAATTACATAGAAAAAAGCATTGAATAATTTGAACATTAACCTTTCCATTTTACCTTGAAAATATTTCCTGCGGGGTCTGTCATCTCACAGACAATCTTGGAATTGTGTTTCATAATATATTTCCCTACATGCTGGTTCTCATCACTGGACAGTTCACTCTCATTTTTTTCAAATGCCTCTGGCGAGTAAACTGCAGAGTAATTTTCATCGATGAAGAGGGAACCTTTGTTTATGGGTAAAATCTACCACAATAATAAAGGAAGAAATTCAGAAAACATATCTTAGTCTTTAACGCTTCAGAGGTCTTTAATATTTGTAACTAGTGAGCACATTTGCAATTTACAGAATAATAGAAAAACAGAATAACAAGAGTTGGATGGGACCTTGGAGGTCTTCTAGTCCAACCCCCCTACTTAAGCAGGAAATCCCATACCATTTCAGACAAGTGGCTGTCCAATGATGAAGCAGCCACAACTTCTGATGGCAAGCTATTCCACTGATTAACTATTCTAACCATCAGGAATTTTCTCCTTAGTTCCAGGTTGTTTATCTCCTTGATTAGTTTCCATCCATTGTGTCTTGTCCTGCCTTCAGGCGCTTTGGAGAATAGCTTGACTCCCTCTTCTTTGTGGCAGCCCCTCAGATATTGGAACACTGCTATCATGTCCCCCCTCGTCCTTCTCTTCGTTAAACTAGACATACCCAATTCCTACAACCGTTTTAGCCTCCAGTCCCCTAATCATCTTTGTTGTTCTTTTCTGCACTCTTTCTAGAGTGCATAACATTCAAAAGAATATTATGGATGTCTGACAGAACTATTACCATGATGTGTGCCCTTAGTCACAAAATATCATTTTTTAAAAAGACGCACTAGTAAGACTAAAGTAAATATAAGGTATTTGTGAGTTTATGGATAACAGATTATGGCATCCGAGTTTTACCATGCAAAACTACTAGTTTGCACTTAATTTTATGCTCCAACATCTACTTCAAATTTATGAGGTTCAGAAATAAGTAATGTCACAAAGATATAATAATAATAATAATAATAATAATAATAATAATAATAATAATAATAATAATAATAATAATAATAATAATAATAATAATAATAATAAAGTTGGAAGGGACCTTGGAGGTCATCTAGTCCAACCCCCTGCTCAGGCAGGAAACCTATACCATTTCGGACAAATGGCTGTCCAGTGTTGGAGCATTCACCGCTTCTGGAGTACCAAATTAAAAAATATCTACTTCACAGCAGGCAATTGGTGAAACTCAGAGAAAGATTCACTATATTACACAAGAATAAGCAAACAAGACGTACATCAGGTCCAAACAAAACCAGTGGCAAAACATACACTATACCTAGACAATCAAGTTGGCTAAAATGAAAAGGAGGAAAAACTATATAAATACACTGTACAAATACAATATAAATATTCAGTAGATATTCCTTCTAGCTGTCTTAAAAGCATTCTTGCAAATAAAGACTATGTTGGAGGCTACTGTACCTCCTCCTAATATGGCATTTAAAAAGAAATCTAGTATTATAAAAAGAGGAGTGTATCTATCAGGCACTATAGTAGTGGTGGCGAACCTATGGCATGGGTGCCAGAGGCGGCACTTGGAGCCCTCTCTGTGGGCACACATGCCGTTGCCCCAGCCTTGCCTCCCCCTGTGACCCCCTCCTCACCAGCAGCCCCCCTGGAGGAGAGTCGCCCCCCAGCATGGCCCATGTGGAGCAGCGCAGCCAAGGACATAGCAGCCAGGCAGCATAGACAAGACTCTGCCCTCACGCCCCATCACGCACAGTTGATGCTGCGGGGCGCGGGCAGAGGGTGTGGCCATGGCGCTGCTGGGCTGCCTGGGCGATCTGCGGCAGGCCCTGGAGGCGGTGAGTGGCCCTGCGGGCAGGTGGGGTGGGGCGGAGCGGGGGATGGAGCGGGGGCGGGGCCAGTTTTTGGGCACTCGGTCTCTAAAAGGTTCGCCATCACCGCACTATAGGAAGCCTGACTGTAATCAGGAGTGATTACTTACTTGGTATAACTCTCACTCTTTTTTTTGTGCTTTTCCCTTTCTAGAATAATCATTTCTCCAGCATTAGTTTCAGGTGCATATAATTGCTGTCAATAGTAATGGTTAGACTGTTTTTACTTAAATTGGTAGCACTGAGATAAATTGAACTCTGAAATAAAAAGAGTGAAACTTTTGACAGATCTTAATTTCTGACTAACCTGATATGTTCCTTGTGGCTTGGATATAATTGAAGTGCCATCAGCAAAAATGGCACAACAAGTGCTGTCCTCAGAGTTTGTTAGGACTGTTGCAAAGTGTGGATTTTCGATACGCATGCATTTCACCTTCCTTGTGGTGGTTTGAGGGTAACTGTCTATGAAAGAAAAACCAACTCATCTTAAAAAAGCATTTATATTGAACAAAGTATGTTTGTGGAAGAAGGCAAAAGTTCTCTTTCAAAAAGGCTAATTTAACTGTATCCCTCTTTGGCCTATAATCCAAATGATCAAGAATTATTGAAGTTATAGTCCATCGTTTGGAGAGAAATACTGTGATGAAATAATGCTTTTGGAGAACTTCTCATTTGTTCAATTTGTTAATGATGGGAACTGGAGCAGGCACAGATGGCTGAGGAGGTGCAGCCTGAGCATGGTCGGGCTGGTGGGGAGGCTGCTGCTGGGCCTGTGAGAGTGGGCAGATGGCTGGGGAGATATAGAGTGTGCATTTTTAAAAAATAGCAATAAGCAATCACCAAATTTTATGATTGCTTGGGATAGTTTAAAAACATATATTTAGAACTTTTGTTACCCATTCTACAAATGTATTCCTTACCGCCATTGGGAGAACTTAGATCTTGGAGCAGAGAAAATATTAAATTGCCTTTTTTTGAAAAGGATGCTAATGCTAATAAAAACGCCAGTGTAATTTTTCACCTTGATTTTATCATTATAAACACACAGAAACCTCTCCAGTACCCAGTTAACATAACCAGTGTTTCATTGAGAAAGATTTTAACATCCCTTTATCTGCCCCACACATATTTTGAAGGAAGATTTTGTAAGCTCCCTGTCAAACAATACCTCTGTCCTTGTAGTGCTGGCCAAGTGGAGGACATTATCTATTATATTTTCCACTGCCTCATTTTCAATCAAATCAGGGTCAAATGGTAAATGAACTCAAGGGCTCTGACCTTGAAAAACTGAATTATCTCCTTTGTAGACATATTTCCAGCTGTCAGCAAACAAGTTGCTACTTTTTTGCTCTACTGTCATTTAGAAAGAAATATTTAAGTTCTTAGTTGTAACTTTGACTTTACTGTATTATGACCTTTTTAGATTCTAATACATTTGTTACTCTATAGTTTTATTCAAGGCTTTTTTTCTCATAGAACGCCCAGAACGGAGTTCCGGCACCTTTTTTGGATGGAACCTTGTAGGGTAGGCAAGGCGGGTTGTATGATGTGGGTGAGTTCCGGCACCTTTTTTTTTTTTTTATAGAAAAAAAGCACTGGTTTTATTGTGTTTTATGGCATTTCTATGTTACAATCTATGGTTACAGCAATATTTCTTATTTACTTACTTACTATATTTAGGACTGGATTATTGAATATACAATATGAAAGAAAAAAATAATCAGATTTCCCTGAACTTTAATATATATTATTTGGACTTGCACTTTGATTGTCTCTTTCTTGTTTAATATTTATATTTTTATCCATAAGGTATTGAGAAGAAAATTAGGTTTTAAAGATATGAACCTCATGTGCAATCATATATGTAAATTGTTTGGAATTTGTTAATTTATGAGAAATCATGGATATGTCAATTTTGAGGCATCATGGAAAATACATAAGGTATGAATAAAAAATTCTAAATTGAAGAAGTATATTTATTTTCAGCCTTTGTGTGCTTCTTTATAGGTGCAAAATGGAAAATGTCAAATGTGATTCCATGTGGTAAAGATTTAAAATATGGCATAGTATTTGATTGTTTTATAGTATATTTCATTTTTGTATGTTTTAATCTTACTGAAATACTTCCCTGCTTACCTCCCAGCCACATACTTGCGAGGTGCTATGGGGGAAGATATTTAATAATATTTTTTTAAAAAAATTAGGAAAAAAGGAGTTCCCAAATTAATAATTGTCAGCTTTAATTTTAAATGAAACTGGAAGTTTTTTGCCCACCATTAGGTTCTGCATGTTGCAAATAAGAGAATCTGATCATCATAAATATTTGGCAAAAGCATAGTACGAAGAAAGCTGCTACGAAGAACCGTAATAGCTATAGCTCTCAATGTGATTTATTTATGCACCACATCTGCAAGAATAAGTGAAAAGCCAGGAATTTTTCTTGTTGACTAATCTTAGATATAGCCTCAATTTTAGATGAAGAATATATATAAAGAAATGAACTAGCTGCACTTAATCACTGAAAAGTGATTACATTTATATTTTTAGAAATATAATAAAGTAATGAGAAATTAAAGCCACAAGTATTTGAAATTATCAACATACTACTATCTACTACTATCTACCTGCTTCTTCACTGTCATTAGGAGAAACAATTTCTACACAGTCCTGGAAGAGGGTGCTTATTCTGGTGCCATCGGCATGATCTACTATTCGGGATCCATCTGTTTTCTCCACGATTAATACTTTATCTTCTCTCATTACCATTACCTAGAATAGGAAATTATTAATGAAGTGTCACAAATGGATTAAATGCTCAACAAACATGTCAGAATATTTTAATACAAACATTGGAAACGTAATTTGATATTTTAAATTGTGAAAATGGATTGTATCACTTATAAAGGAATCAGAATAATGCAATAGTACCGTTCCATTAACTGGATCAGTGGCCTGGTAAGACAAGAGTGGTTTCAGGTCAAGCTTTTCGGTTCCCTTGGTGCCTATCTGAATGCCTAATGGAGTAGTCGTTATCCAGGTGCCAGCAAAGGCATCAGTGGATGATTGTTCAGGCTCAGGCAGATGTTCTTGAGCAATTGTTTCAATAGCTTCATTTTTTCCTGCAAGCAGACCTTTAGTATTTTTTCCTAGAAAATAACAGGAAAAAATAACATTTATTCATACACTTGGATAATATTCTAAGAACTTCATTGTGTGAAGGACAGCTAAAGTGCCAGCATGTATTTTTCCAATAACTATCTAGCCACAAAATGTGGAAGACTTACTCCTTCATGGTTACTCTTTGATTGTCAAAATACAGAACTCTTTTTCATTAAAGCATACCTATTCCTAAAGTAAAGGATATAGACACAGAAATTGTTTGTAAGAAAATCATAACTTAGACCAGAGATTTTCAGCTCCATGGAATCCTATGGCTCCATGATAAATCAAGAGCAAAAAAAGAAAATCATTATTTTTCACAGACAGTTTAGATTCTGATCTGGAAGAATTTGACTTCCAGACTCAAGATGGACTTTTACGAAAATATTTGTTTCCACGGATTCTTGAGGTATCTAGGGTTTTTTTAATCCTTTCAGCTGTCAGTCTATTTCTTTGAGGAGGAATAGTACTGGATAAATGCATCTTACTGCTGTTTGAGAATATGTGACATTATTTTTATAAAGGCACAAATATTGAATATGATTCTTTGCATTACGGATGCCCTACAGAACAATGTGATATAAATTATATAATATATTACACAAAGCACTATAATTATACAACATTATATTATTTTACTCAATAAGATTTATTTGTTTGTTTGTTTGACTTCTTCAACTTCAACCTCTTCTTCAGTCCTGGACTATATGACTTACTGCTTTTTTTGCTGCTTGTTTCCGGAGTTGGTGTGATCTCTGTATGAGGTGTGCTGGGTGCAGGTGGAGGTGGGATCACAGGGCCAGAATCAGGACTCCTAATCACTGTGCCATCAGCAAAGAGTATCTTAAAAACAGCAAAGCAAAACATGATCAGCTACAAAGATATGCAGAACAGCAGATACAGTACTATGTTCAAATAAAAAAAAACATGACCAAAACGTGTAAAGAATTCAACAAAGTTTTATACTTGGATTTAACATTTCTACAGACTTATATTTACATTTGGATGAAACAGTTCTATAGATTTCAAATCTACTCAATAATTAAACTTCCTCAGTGGCTACGTTTCATACTGAAAAATGACTGAAACCGTTTGAAAATATTAGCAAAGCACAGTGGCTTCTCCATGTGCATCTAAGCCAAGAGAAAAATAATTAATACAGAAAAAAACATAACATGCAGGGATATATATCCAAACACAGGTTGTCATAATTTGAGGTGAAGTCTCCTTAATTAGGGTGTTATGATTCAGTCGGGATTTAATTCAGTAATAAAAAGTGAATTTTACATTCAAAGCTAAACGAATATAAGTATACCTGAGTGGATCCATCTATCATGTACTTTACAACAGTCCCTTGTCGTGTTATTACTCTGGATACTTCTTGCTCTATTGGTTTCTTCACCGTTTTGTGAAGTTGCGACTGTTTTACTCTTTGTGGATAGCTCTGCCTAATAAATATTTCAAAAGGAGATTCCTTGACCATACTGTTATCCTCTGTTTCCATCTCAGCCTTGCTGTCACTGGCAGTCTCATTCCTGACAGTAAGATCTGCTCCAGATTCAACACTGGCTTTAGCATTGAATGTCTTGTCTCCACTGTCTTTAGCTAAAGGTTCGTGGGGCTGAATCTGCTTTTCTTTGCTGTCCTCTGTTTTGATTTCTTCCAGCTTGACTTCACCTGATTTAGTCTCATCTGTTTTGCTTTCTTCATCATCGTTCTTCTCTTTCTCTCCTTTTTCTTCACCTTTTACATAGCAAAACATTTTTGTTAATCAGTTAAAATTGTTATAGTAACAGTTGTCTATGGAAACTTGTGGACCTCACCAATGTTACAAAATGTCAAAACTGGAAACCCAGTAAGAACAATATAGATACTGACCCAAATTTATGCTTATACCTCTTTGTATGAAAGGTTAGTCAGAGAGAAAAGGCAGCAGTTCAAATGATTTAAATGTAATGCTACAAATGATCTATTCATATATATTTTAATCCTGCAAATTAATACCTTTACCATTAGTTTCATTAGCTCTACTTGTTACCATAAACTGAACAGAATGCCACCACAGATTTTACTGTACTAGGAACAAATCAAGTCTTTTCAGCAGCAGGAATGGTAGCATCAAATGGAGTCCAACTACTATTCAGCATTTCTCAATCTTAAATCTGCAACCTAAAGAAGTATCTCTGACACAGATATCTTGCTGAAAGTCTTAGTTATATTTTGAAAGCCAGTTCATTTAAAAGCCAGCATCAGGGAAACTGATGCATCAAAGATTGAAAACAGAGTGCTTCATATTTTTAAAAAGTTCTCTGGGAAGTTAAACAATTAAGTACACTATGGGAACATGTATATATGCTGTAAAAATAAAATGGATATGACCTTTTTAATTGCAGGGGAAAACCATCCCAGAATTCTGTCTGATTTAGAAGATTAAAAAGTGAATTTTCCCTGATTCAGATATACTTAGATGTAAATTCATTCTAGCTGAACTGGGGTAAGTTCCCATCCAGAGCTTTAGTAGAAAATATGTCACCATCCCTATATAGTTGAAGTAAAAACCTGAGTAGATCCCGGTTCATCTTAAGTTTACTATATTTTCTGTTTGCCTTCAATATGCTTACTAAAGGATATTTTAGCCACTAAAGCTAATATTGCTTTTTCTTTTTGTGTGGACTGAAAAGCTTGTGTACTCAGGAAGTAACATAAGAGTTTTCATTACCTGATGGAACATCAACAGCACAATTTCTTTTGTAAAAAAAAAGTTTATTCAACAAACCTGCGAATTTTTGACCAATAAAGGTAAGTACCAATCCATTGGGAGAAGACACGTTCAAAGTATTGAAAATATGAGTTTCAGGAACAGCCTGTGTTTGGACTGGCTCATTTCTTTCTGTCTACAATATGCAAAAGAAGCAGAAAATGCCAATGTATTTAAAAGCACTTACAAACATTTCAGTTCTCCACAGTGCCAAACAGCTTTAAGAAGTAATAGAATAGTGCACTAGTACATAAAATCAGTTTGAAAAGTTTTTGCCAAGTATTAATTTAATTTTAGCGTTAGCAAAGGCACTTAAATATTTTGAGAATAATTTTCTATTGGTTTTAGATTCTGTGTTTGTCAAACTGCTTGCCATAATTTCTAAGTATTTGTTAATGTAATATTTTTTTTGAAAAAAATATTTAAATGTAACTTGGTATAGTTGCTTGACTGCAAAGCTTATTTTTATTTATTTATCTGTATCCCACCTTTATTATTTTTACAATTAACTCAAGGTGGGAAACATATTCAACACATCGTCCTTCTCTTATTTTCCCCACAACATGTTTGTTAAAAACCCGTTTCCTCAATCATTGGGAATTCTGAGTAGGAAAATCTGATTTTTGTCTAGCGAACTATCCATTCTATAGCTGGTGGAGAGCAAAGAAAGCACAAAATGTTAATATACACTTGTGGTTAGCAATTTTATTTACTTATTTCATTCTAGATATTAGCACTCAAACTGACAAGGAGTTAAATAGATCTTTAAGTTGGTTGGCTAAGAACAAAACTATTTTTTGATTTGAATAATTTCTGTCAAAAATTATTTCTGAGTTTGACCCACTTCTCAAGAACAGTGTATACTAGAGTCAGATTTGAATTGTTGGATTCTATAGCCAGTTGGTCAACTATGGGAGCTTCCACCATCTTCAATATCATGAGAAAACATGTATATGCAGTGCCTTAGCTATCAAAAAGAATTGCTCTTGTTTTGTTTGATAGTCAACTATATGCCCCTCTTAGGCTTAAATACTTAGCATCCCTACTTGAAATTCAAAGCCCACTGGGATTTGAATGGCAGGTTGTCTTATTTCCTCCTGGGTTCTAATCTATACATCATGAACAAAACTGCTAAGTTTATGATTAAGACAGTTGACCAAAGGACTTGTTATATTGAATAAATTGGGTGATGTATTTACCTGAATATTGAGTTTTAGTATTTAACACATATATATTTTATCACTGTATCTCCTTTTATTTATTTTACCTTGGACGTATATACTGTATTTTATTTTCATTTTATATTTGATATGGTTGTAAGACTAATCAACCAATAAATTATCTGTCTACTTATTTATGAAATTTATATTTCATAAGAAATATACAAGTTTTCTTCTTCTCTGCTGTAGAAAAAGATGTAAGGAGCTGTAACTAATAATCTGAAGGAGGCCAAAATTATACTGTTTGCTGAGCAGCCTAATTTGTGATGATCAGTCATAATACTATGCCAATGGGAGCATATCTTGCTTGCTGCACAGATGCCAAATCTACTCATAATATCTGGAAGGAATATATTTGGAAAATGACTGGCTCATCTTATCAGAAGGGTTTTAAACTAAAATTGAAGGAGGAGGGTGACCAATTTTCACAACCTTTAGGACATATTTCCAAGCAAAAACCACTAGACAACCAATCAAATAAGGAGGTTGAGAGTAAACAGAAGAAAAAGTCAAATGCAAAGTAGGGGATGTAGGGAGCATACCCAGGATCAGCCACTTAGTGTAAATGTTAGTGTAAATGCCTATACACTAACGTTCAAAGTTTAGGTAATAAACAGGATGAACTTGAAATACTAGTAAATGAGTGCAAGTATGATATAGTTGCCATTACAGAAACTTGATGGCATGAAACTCATGACTGGAATGTACTGATACAACTATTCAAAAGAAACAGATCTAACAAAAGAGGAGGTGGAGTTGCATTATATGTTACAGACTATTTCCTCTCTGCAGACACACAACAAAGGATGAAAACCTTCTAGAATGCATATGGGTCAACATAAAAGGAAAAAAGAACCTTACCACAGGTGTATACTACAGGCCACCTGACTAAACAGAAGAAATAGATGAACAGGTAGTCTTGATTTACAACTGTTCACTTAGTGACTGTTCAAAGTTACAACAGCACTGTAAAAAGTGACTTATGACCATTTTTCACACAACCGTTTTAGCATCCCCATGGTCATGTAATTTACATTCGGATGCTTGACAACTGGCTCACTTTATGATGGTTGCAGTATCCCGGGGTCATGTGTTCACCTTTTGCAAACTTTGACAAGCAAAGTCAATGGGGAAACCAGACTCACTTAACAACCATGCTATTAATTTAAGAACTGCAGTGATTCACTTAACAAAGAAAAGTCACAAAATGGGGCAAAACAAATTTCTCACTTTGCAATATAAATTTTGGGCTCAATTGTGATGGTACGTTGAGGACTACCTATATGTAGGAAACATACCACAGTAGTAATGGGGGACTTTAACTACCCTGACATCAACTGGAAGACAAACTCTACAACAAATGGGAGATTGAACAGATTCCTGACTGACCTATCTAACAACCATTACCCAAAAGGTAGAGGAGGCAAATACAGGGACAGGTATAAATGGACTTTATTCTTATAAACAGAGAAGAAGCGATAGAAGGGATTGAAGTTGCAGAAACTTTAGGGGAGAGTGACCATGTCATACCAGAATTCAATATAAAACAGACACAAGCAACAGAACATAATCAAACCAGCATCTTATACTTAAAAGAGCTGATTTTAACAAATTCAGAGAGAGCTTGGGAAGGATCCCATGGATGAAAATCTTAAAGGGGACATCAACTTAAGAAGCTTGGGAAACTCAGAAAAGTACAATTATAAAAGTTCAATCCAGTTCAATATCGCTAAAAAAGAAAAACAAGAAAAAGCCAGCATGGTTGCACAAAAAATTCTCAGACCAACTAAGAGAAAAAAAGGATAAGTACAAAAAATGGAAGGAAGGATACATAACTAAGGCAGAATACCAACAAATAGCCCATACCTGCAAAGATGAAGTTAGGAAAGCTAAGGCTTTGAACGAAGTAAGACTTGCAACAAATGTCAAAAACAATAAAAGAAAGTTTCTTTCAACTCATAAAAAGTCAACGAAACAATAGGTCCATTAATGGGAGAAGACAGCAAAAAGTAACGGGCAGTAGAGAGAAAGCAGAATTGCTTAATTCATACTTTGCATCTATCTTCATGCAAAACAACCACTACTCAACTTACCAAAAACAGAACTGTAACGGACAGATTAAGCAAATTAAAATATGCAAAAATAAGGTAAGAGAACATCTGTCCGCTCTAGAATGATTCAAATCACCAGGTCCTAATGAACTACATCCCAGAGGTCTGAAGAAACTGGCAGATGTGATTTCAGAACCATTGAAACATATCTTTCAAGTTCTTGGAACACTCGGGCACTACCTGAGGACTGGAAAAGATGTGGTTCCCATCTTCAAAAAAGGGAAAAAAACAGTTCCAGGAAATTACAGACCAATCAGTCTGACATCAATGCCTGGGAAGATTTTGGAAAAGATAATCAAGCAACAAATCTGCAAACACCTAGAAGCAAACAAAGTTATAACCAGAGGACAACATGGGTTCATCAAAAACTGATCATGCCAAACAAATCTTATTTCATTCTTTGACAAAGTGATTAAATTAGTGGGTCAGTGAAATGCTGTGGATATAGTATACTTAGATTTTAGTAAAGCATGTGATAAAGTAGACCACAAGCTACTTCTTGATAAGCTAGAAAAATGTGAGATAGACAGCACCACTACTAGATGTATTTGTAATTGGCTGACCAATTGTACTAAATGTGTAATCCTCAATGGAACTACATCCATATGGAGGGAAGTAAGCAGTGGGGTACCCCAAGGTTCCATTTTAGGCCCAGTACTCTTCAATATCTTCAGAAATGATCTAGATGAGGGAATAGAAGGGGAACTAATCAAATTTGCAGAGGACACTAAGCTGGTAGGAATATCCAACACCCCAGAAGACAAACTCAAGATCCAAAAAGAACTTGACAGACATGAACACTAGGCCCTATCTAACAAAATGAAATCCAGTGTAGATAAAAGTAATATTTTACATTTAGGCAAGAAAAACCAACTGTATAGCTACAGACTAGATGAAAGTTGGCCTAATGCCAGTAACTGTGAGAGGCATCTTGGAGTCTTAGTGGACAATCACTTAAATATGAGTCAACTGTGTGCGGCAGCAGCAAAAAAAAGCCAATGCAATCTAGGTTGCATTAATAGAGGGATAGAATCAAGATCATGTGAAGTTCTAGTACTGATTTACAAAGCCTTAATAAGATGTGGAACACTGCATCCAGTTCTGATCACCACAATATAAAAAATATGTTGAGACTCTGGAAAAGAGGTAGAGAAGGACAACAAGATGATTAGGGCACTGGAGAATAAAATATAAGAACAATGGTTGCAGGAATTGTCTAGTGAAAAAAGGACTAGGGGAGATATGACAGCAGTGTTTCAATATTTGAGGGGCTGCCACAAAGAAGAGGAGGGTCAAACTATTTTCCAAAGTACCAAAAGGCAAGATAAGAAACAATGGATGGAAACTAACCAAGGAGAGAAGCAATCTAGGACTAAGGAGAAATTCCCTAACAATGACAGCAATCAACCAATGGAATAGCTTGCCTTCAGAACTTGTGGGTGCTCCATCACTGGAGCCTGGACAACCATTTGTCTGAAATGGTATAGGATCTCCTGCTTGATCAAGGGGTTGGACTAGAAGACCTCCAGGCCACCTTCCGACCCTATGATTGTATTCTATGAAGTATATTCATACCTTTTTCTCTTCTTGCATTGAAGATTCTTCAGGTGATACATTCAATGTCATACGGGAACTCACTTTGGCAGACGGTAAGGATTTGGCTGATTTTTCTTTACCTGGCTTTGCCTTTCCTGTAGCAGGAACTGCAGCAGCAGAAAGAGCCGAGGAAAGGAAAGTCGAAGTGGGCAAGTTTACTGAAGGGATAGCCAGAATAGTTGCCAAATAAGGATCCATTTCCTCTGTAAAGAAAATGGGTCATTTTGATGAAACAGAATAAACATTACATACATCCAAAAATGTGCAGCTATTTCTAGATCAAGAAATGTCCTTTAAGTGATATGCCAGGAGCTATATTCCAAAATAGCAATAGATGAGCCAGGACAAAATCTACATTTCATTTCATTTTCATTTAAATAAAATGGAATGCAATTAATATAATAGCTCCGTAGGCAAGTATTTGAATTTGTTCATCTTTCATATTAAAAAATTAAATTGGTAATAACATTTGTACCTTGGCAAACATGTTGGAAAAATATTTTTAATCAA